GTGTGAATTGCATGAGGTGATAGCTTCACTCACGACATTGGCTTAAGAACATTTAAGGATATTTATTAACATGGATGGACATTGGTCGTCCTGCTCCCTATGGACCAATGGATCCTATGTCTTTGTTATTTCCGTTGTTCAAACTGATTCTCTGATCTGTTGTTGAGGAATTGACATTTTTGCAAGCCCTCTGAGATGACTGCTGTTGTGATGTAGGGATATATTAAAAAACAAAAATAAATTTAAATGAATTGTTTATTGAAAAAGACTGCCAATAACAAAATCAAGATTGTAGCTGGAGGAAAACACATTTTGGCCACACTTTAGTTCAGCCCTCACTAATTAGATAATTAAGTGCTAATTAGTGTTTCATTTGGGATTTATTAGCGCTTGATTTGTAATTATTAATAACTTATTAGTCCGTATTCTACATGGCCTTATTTCAACATCGAACTAACTGTGAACTGACTCTTTCCCATGTGGGTTTGGGCTCATGTAAGGGAACACTGATTAGCATTGAATTAGACGTTAATTAGTGAGGGCCAATTTTGAAGTGTTGTTCAAACTTTAAAACAAAAAATTAAGTAAGTAGATCCAGATTGACAGCACTTCAGACATCCTCATTGGAATGTAACTGTTTTTTATAATCCGTAATTTTATCAAATTGTATGTGACTGCTTTTATAACATGTATGTAACTGTTTTATAGTCTTTAATGTATGGAACTTTTGTCCAGGACTCCCTTGAAAAAGAGGTTCTTAATCTCAATGGGACTTTCCTGGTTAACTAAAGGTAATAATAAAGTAAGCAAGTGATATTTATTTATATAGCGCTTTTTTTTTGCAGACCAAGATCCCCCAAAGCGCTTTACAATGTTTAGATATTCTATTCTGTCCACACGGTGATGACAGAAGCGAGACGGAGAGTCCCCAAACAACATCATCCATTCACGCACTCATTACAGTCAGACCCATTGTGCATGTTTTTAGTGGTAGGGGAAACCGGAGCACCTGGAGGAAACCTATGCAGACTCCTATGCAAACTCCACTCCTCCACTCAGAAAGGCCCTATTCCGACTGGGATTTGAAGCCACTTTCTTGCTGAAAAGATATCTGTTTTAATAAATGTACTCTTCATGTAACTATCTATCTAATTACAATCTATTATTTATGTTTAAGTGACGCTTTAAAAAACACAACAAAAACAAATCAACTTTCTTCCACACATTCTTTTTATTTGTAAATAATAAAAATGAACTTTTTTTAAAATATAAAACATACACATCATTTGAGCCACATCATCTATACAAACAAGAAATGTTGCAGTGAATGCTTTTGACTATTTTTCTAATTCTCTTTTTTTTTTTTGATTCCATGGAACACAAAAGTTGTAAACAATCAGCATTTTTCTGTTAATACTGACAGAGAGAGACAAAATCAAAAACAAATCAATCAAAACAAACCCTAAATGAACACAGCCAAAACTTGCTTCACTGAGCGATTGACAGGAAACCAAGATTATTCCAAAATAAAAACATGGACGGATGGACGTTTTGAGGAGCACAAAGAGAAAGTGGAAAGAGTGGTCCCTAAACATAGATGCTGCTGCTCAGTTGAAGACTTGGCCCCGTTGTAGATACCACAAACCAGTGAAGGCTACTGAATATGTACATGTGTTTTATTTACTGTGCGTCGTAATTCTCTATATAGAACTAAAACAGTCCACATAGAATATCCTTATGTTGGAACATAATTCATATTTCCATAGATCTTATGTATACATGTAGTTCATACACGTGAGCCCCTCGGAGGTACTGTATGGTCGATTCTGCACTACTTGTGTGAGCGAGAGAGAGAGAGAGAGAGAGAGGCTCGAGGTCTGGACAGAGGACCTATATAGAAATCTTTCCGTAGGCTCCAGAAAACAGACATCAAGAGTTAAGTTTGTTTTTGGGACACACATTCTGGACTTTGGAGGGAAGGGAAGGGAATGGGAAGGGGGGGACGAGTGGAGAGACTGCTGTTTTTTCGGATGTGTTGTTTTCGTAATGCAAATGGCTTCTTGGTTTTCACCTCTTTAATATTCAAGTACGAGCAAACTGTACAACTGCATGCAACAGACAAGCGGCCCTACCGTCATGTGAAAAACTAACACCAATCCTACGTCAGAATCTTTTTTTCCCCGTTTCGGTTTTACAAAAAAATGTGCATGCAGCTTGGAACCGGGTCCAACGTCATGCTGGCCCCGCCCCCTTTTTGTCTCGCGTCTGGCGGGCGGGGTCCGAGGGCCGAACGGAGGATGGGCGCGGAGCTCAGAGGTCCCGCCCACTTCGAAAGCCCGCGACTGGTTTTCTGGGTGTATTCTTCCCCTTTCTCCGGGTAAAAAAATCCAAGTATTATGAGTTTGAAGGCACGACTGAGGAGACCAGCTGTGTGGTGGAGGTCCATGAAGTTTAAAGCTGGGGTATCTAACTTTCACACCGTAAATAATGGAACTAAACAAATCCATTCTATCGAGTTCCTTGCTCTCAAAACGGTTTTAACTTTTTTTTTTGTTGTCTCTGTCCCGTGTAAATACCTGCTATTTTGACCAGAAAAGCCAACCAGGCAATCAGCTCTCAGCCCAAAGCGTCAAATTAAGACTCACAGGGCTCAGGGATGTTTTTCATTTTACGACAAAGACAGCCTGGTGTGGTCTATTTTGTTCACTAATAATTTACTTAAAACTCTTTCTGTTTTGGGCGGCACGGTGGCTGAGTGGATAGCACTCTCGCCTCTCAGCAAGAAGGTCCTGGGTTCGAATCCCGGTCGGACCAGGGCCTTTCTGAGTGGAGTTTGCATGTTCTCCCCGTGTCTGCGTAGGTTTCCTCCGGGTACTCCGGTTTCCCCTACCACTAAAAATATGTAAAATAGTTCTGGCATGCGCCTCCTGTACTGGCGACCCCGCTCCCATCTCTGTGTGGAGTGAGAGACAAGTGCCCAAAAAAAAATAAAAAATAAAAACAAATAACAATTGTAAACCGCTTTGAGACTCAGCTCTGCAGTGAAAAGGCGGTATATAAATAATTACTTACTTACTTACTTACTTACTTTTGGCCTGCACTGTGGTTAGCGTGTATGCTAACTGCTAACCCCTTTTGCTAACAACAAGAAGGTTTCCATACAGGACTTTTCTGTGTGAAGTTTTCATATTCTCCTCGTGTCTAGGTTTCCGCTGTGTGCTCCGGTTTCCCCTCTCACTAAAAACATGTACAATAGTTTGGGATGAATGAGTGAATGTGTGTTTGTTTGTGCGACTATGGAACATCGGATGCAAAATTAGCCTAAAGCTACAACCCAGAGAGGTGTGTTCATAACGTGAACCGTTCGAACCAAATAAACAGTTCAAATATAATCATAAAGCCAAAAGTTAGGTAACCCAGCTTTGAATATTCATGTTTTGTAATTGTAACAAACTTAATACACCTGCTATCAAACTTTTACTATGATTTTCTTTCATTGGCATTCAACCTTTTGGGAAAAATGAATCAAACGTTATTTTTTCCAAAGTGGGCGGCGACCGTTGAGTCCCATTGGAGTGTGCTTCCCGACAGGTCAGTCTGATTGGTTACTTTCACATTCACAGAGATGCACAAAGAAACTTTATAGGACATCTGTTTTTGTCCTATAACAAGACCAGTGGCGGGATCATTGCTGTATTTTTTAACTACATATTTATCTTTTCTTCCAAAAGTTAAACTTCTCGTAAAAAATCAAGCTCTTGTGCTTGTGAGTCAAAATCTCAAAATAATGTAACTCAAGCTCTGGATAAAAATTGAAACGTGCTGGGGAGAGGGCACATAAAAAGTATGTCTCCTATGCGTTGTCATTTTTTATTTTTTTACAGCGACATTGTATCCTTGTGATATTTCAAAGTGACATAAACGTTATTATTGGTCAACCTCCTGAGAGGCCTAATATACATCTATACAAAGACGACCGGCCTTTTGTTGACCAGCGGTGGAACAATGAAGGAAAACTCAGCTAATCTCACTGTAAAAACTCGGCATCGTTGGCCCCCCTCCCCGTTCAATGCAAAAAGCGATGGAAAAACAAGTCAAAAATTGCTAAAATTTGGCAAAATGTGTCTGAATTTCAGCACATTTTAACTGAGATTTGCCAACGGGACAAAGCGAAATGATCTTGTTTTAAAAAGATACAAGAAATGTCTCACTTGTAATGAGAAAATAAAGCAACAACTAAATGGCTTTGTCCCATTGATAAATACTTTTTTACGAATGTACTCAAATGTAATTAAAAAACACTTCATTCGAGCAATTATCACCTCATATTTGATCATTTTTTGCAGTATTAGAACACCCCTGCATTACACATTCTGCTGACATTAAAGTTTTTTATCCTTTTGCGTTCCGATTTTTTTCTCTCCATGCACACACCGGACTGACAACATATCATAAGCACTGCGAAACATCTTGTGCAAGTTTCAAAAAAGGAAAAGAAAAAAATTCAAACAAACAATAGCAGAATGCGGACTGGTTTGTTTCCGGATAGCCATGGTAAACATAGGGACATAGTGGGAGCGGTGATGGGGCGATTGGGTCTTAGGCACCGAAAGAAGGCCCTGTGCTTCCAGACTGAATTCCTGGCAGTCGTGGGGTTGTCTGCAGTATTTGTAGTAGTAATAGTAGTAATAGTAGTAGTAGTAGTAGGAGGAGGAGGATAACCCCCTATGTAGTCCATACATTCTGACGCTTACATACAATACGTTGCTATTGTTGATACCTTTTCCACATCTCATCCGACACACAACTCGCTTCCTGACCCGGAAAACTTGTCGATTTTTTATCTCACTCGAATGGACATGAAACATTGACCCGAGCACAGACTAACAAAGAGAAGTGATTGTCAGATTTTAGCAAAGCTTTCTCAATAAAACGACGCTCTCTGATTGTTGCCTATGTGGTGAGTTGCTAGCTGTAATAATAATGAGTGGGTTGGTCCACTAGGTGCGGACCCCGGGGGGCCCTGAGGAGCTGTCCAGTGATGATTGAGAGGCCCTCCGCGTGAGAGAGGCCAGTGTGGGGTCCACCAGGGATGAGGGCGGGAACAGCTTGTACCAGCCAATTACTGTGCTTGATAAGTCCAGCTCATCGAGTAAGACTTGTGCAACTCCCATGAAGCTCTTGTGGTCCATGCGGCCGTAGTCTCCCCACACGATCACCTGCGAGAAACATTGATGAAAGAATGATATTTAATTTAAGATTTTACTGATTACTTTTAAAGCTTGTTTAGGTCGGGCACGGAGCTACATCACTGAACTTTTAGATAGCGCCATCAGAATCCTCTTTTAAATCATTTTTTAAAAACCACTTTTATCGAACAGCCTTTAACTTGTGTTCCCTCTGTCTGCTTTGTTTACCTGTATCTACTGGTAATTATTTTGACTTTGTATTATTATAATTATTACTATTATTAGTACACAGAGCACCAGCCCCTCACTGATCCTCCTGCAGGTGGTGAGTCCACAGGAGCCTTGATCTTTCAGTGGGGCTTCAGGCAAAGTGGGGTTAAGTGTCTTGCCCAAGGACGCAACGACAGCAGTCATCAGTGGGAGTCTTGAAGAAGGTGTTGTTGTGGATTCGAACCCACAACCTTCAAGCATTCACATCTTGACCATACAATTTACACCATGAAGTTATATTTTTCTTGAAAAAAAGTGCATAACATGACTAGAACTTAGTGACTTCACTCAAAAACAAATGTGTTTCAAGATTGGTTTAAGATATTTTTAAGTTCATTTGTGCAAAATTCATCTTTGTTTATTTGACACTGTTTTGTTTTTAAATTAAATAATAAAAATAATAAAAAAAATAGATTCAGTGATTTCTTTGGATCTCAGCTAGACTGAGGCGATTGTTGGTCTCACACATTCCAGTTGAGAACCACGGGTTTGGACACTTGACCTGATGCTGCAGGCGTCACTTCCACGTAACAATGTTAAGGTGAGGGACAAAAATCAATACGGTTGGATAACTACATTGACATTTACAATTGTAGTTTAATATGTTTCACTTTGAGTACTGCTAAAAAAACAGCAGAATAGACATCAGATCATAAATACTTAGTTTAGACTCCAACAAACTTTATTTATCCACAATGAAAATTATTTGGACCCGGCCTACACGTGCTTGAATGTTTTACAGTATATGGATTTTTGTATCTGAAATAAAGGCTGATCGAAAGATGGATTTATACATAGATAGTTGTCCTTATTGTATAGTTTGCAAAATGCTATGTTTTTCAAATGCTAATAAATGTCCTTAAATGTCCCGGATCATCAATGTCCTTGGCAAGGAACAACTCGGAGACCACCTCGGAGAGAGGGATCCACTCCCATAGACAGATCCAGGACTGAGGCTTTAGAACGAGGACTGAGGAGGCTCCCAGTCGCCTCTCTCATGGGTGGAAGATGTAATTGTTCGACTGAAATCCACTTGTTACAATAAACGTACAGGTATTCAATTAGCAAACAAAACAATAGGAAAGAATAACCCTTTTGTCATCACAGGAGGACCAAGAAAATACTTTTGTTCAGTGCTGGTAAAACTTGATTATGTGTAACTTTTGTATTTCATCACATGTGGCATTAAAAAGGATGGCATGAAGAAAAGTGGCTGCTCACCTGTAAGACTTTACCCTGTGGGCTCTCGTCGAATAGCAGTGCTTGCTGATACAGCGGGTCAAGTGTTTTCCGTGCAATCTTGGTTTTCTTTTTGGCTACGTACGCCCCATTATTCAGCAGATAGACCTTGACGTAGGGAGCTGTGCGGAGAAACAGACCGACAAATTTGCCATTAGCAATAGACAACGCTCTGGAAATCAGAAGTTTATGTTACGCTGCAGGGAGCCAAAAGTATTGACCAAAGTTAAAGACTTTATTTCAAGGCAATTTGTTGTTTTTCACACTCCCTCAGTGCTAAAAATTGGTTTCATAATAAAATCAATTCTGTATTATTAAAGTTAGAAAATAACATCTTAGTTAATATAATTTATAATAAGATCATCCAATTAAAGTAACAGAAAGAGCTTTCTGGAGTTGGCTCATTACCTATAAAATATTTCTATGGAAGAAGGAAATGATCAACCATTGACAATTCAATTCAATTCAATTTATTTTTGTATAGCCCTAAATCACAACAGCAGATCAAACACAAGAAATGCAGTAATATAATAGCAACAAAAACATAAGAGCCATTGGTCCATAGGGGCAGGACTAATGTCTGTGAGTGTCCTTAAATGTCCTGGAAAAAGAAAGAAACCTCTGGGAGGCCCACATTGAGAGGTTTCGCTCCCATGGGCAGATAGGCTATAGATCCAGGACTGAGGCTGTAGAACGAGGACCCAGGACTGAATTCATGGTTTGTGGAGTCTCAGGAATGCCAGTGTTTTATTTATTACCACAAATGCATTGTTTTATTTGCAACAACAATTAAAAAATAGGACAAAAAATATATTGTTGTTATTGCTCATGCAGTGTTGTTACCGTTGTGTCAGTGTTATTGTTGGGATCTATCTATCTATCTATCTATCTATCTTTCTATCTTTCTATCTATCTATCTATCTATATGGAAAGTTTGTAGTTGCAGCCTCACCAGGTAGAGACTTGGATCCTGGTTTCTGCACCAGCCCTCGCGCTCTGATCACCTCCACCTCCAGCTGACCTTTCTTCTCCATCATACCAATCTGGATGTCACCTAAAAAAGCAAATTTTTAATTAAGACAGAGGGCATGATAAAAACTAATTCCCTACAGTTTTGATCATGTTGAGTAGAAGAGACGCATACCGATGGCGGGGGTGGCCAGCGTCTGCCTGCCCACTAACTGCGCAGGACCCAACCCGTCCAGAAAGCCGCTCAGCTGACTACTGGCCCCCAGGTTCACCCCAGAGAAGATCAGACTGGAAGCAAAAATACACCAGGTATTAGCTTCAATAGCATGCAAGGGATAGGAAAAGGAAAAGGAAAAGTGGGTGAGTTGTTTGGACCCATGTTTGATTTTACACCAGAGAAGAAAAAATTGATCAAAACGAACTTCTGATTTTTCAAAATAAGTCACTAAAATCACAACACATTGCACCCAGGACCCAGGCAAGATTATAATCCACATGGAGCAATATAAACAATTTTAAATATTTGTTACAGTCTAGAGAATTTGCACTTTCAAAAATGGGGAGGCTGCTTTTCAGATTCATGCTGCTAAAATCTGGAACAATCTTCCTGAAGATGTGAGACAGGCCTCCTCTCTGACAATGTTTAAAACCAAGTTAAAAACGGTGCTGTTTAGAAGAGCCTGTATTTCGCCTGTATCTGCTGACTAAAGACGCCTGTGCCCCGCTGTCAGCATTCAGAGAGGAGACTTCATTTCACAGCGGCGTCTTTGCCAATAATTATTTACAGCGAGAAAAGTCATGTGTGGAATTACCCGAGAGTGGGCTAATCCATCTCAGAAAACAGCAGGTCTTAATTTGATTCTGTCACTTTTTGGTGTTTTATACCAGATTTGCTGCACAGAGCTTCTTTCTATCTAACTATCTGCTAATTAAAATCAGCCGCTGCGTGCGTGACGGAGCTGTCTGACACGTTACAGACGACTTTAAACTCTTCCAACCACAACTTAAAAACTAGCCAGAGTTAGCCAATAGACTTCATATAGTTGTTCATTGTATATATATATTTTTTTATTTTCAGATGTAAAAGACTGCACCTGTGTACTCAGGCTGTAACAAGTGATTGGGTGAAAGCTGGGGTATGTCTCTTTTTTTGGGTTTTCCATAACAGTATGAACATTGTGCTTGTTCCAACAGAAAGTGACTTGTTCGAGTAACATTTCGTGAACACATTTCACACAATAAAATTAGCTCATTTGCCTCTTGTGACCCGTTTTTTGGCACTGGCAAAGAAGAACCATGTGCAGATTCAAACCACATTTTTTTTTCAAATCGAAGAATGACACTCACAAAGAGTCTTATGTGAGATATTACAAACAAAGCTACAACAGTGAGTATGGAGAAGTTTTAGTAACAGAAGAAATCAAAAGGGACAGCTTTAAAAACTGCAATTGAATTCAACGGTTTTGTAAAGTCCCCCGGGAAACAACTGTAGTGATTTAGGGCTATACAAGATTAGATTGAACTGAATTGAAAGCCTTTGCCCCATTCTCACGACAGCAATCCCTTCACACAGTAAGATTATATGTGGAAGCTGCCAGGTCCAGGATGTCATTTGTTGACAGCACAGGTGCAGCTGAACAAGTGGAGGAGCGGTTTCCTTCGAGAGCGCTCTTTACGTAACCGTGAGAGGAGTTTGTGTGAAAACAGGATGTGGTGGTACTGACTTCCCCTCCGAGTTACAGCTGTGGATGCTGCCGTTGTTGGACTCGCGACTCGGCTGTCGGCTGGGCATGCTCCGGACCATCTCCACCGCTAGGCCCGTCTCTGTGCTCCGCTGGATGGGGGCGCCCTTCTCCTTCTTAGACTTCCCCTCTGCGAGAAAAGACAGGGAGAATGTACAGAATGTTAGTAATAAAGTCCGTCAGATAGGTTAGACCAGGGGTCGGCAACCCGCAGCTCGGGAGCCGCTCTTTAGTGCTCCTCGAGTGGCTCCTCGAGTGGCTCCTGGAGCCTTTTCAAAAATGTCTGAAAATGGAGTGGTAGGGCTATATTTTATGTCTAGTTTGAATGTGGTTTCTGTAGGAGGAACAACATTCTTAAAGTTTTTAAATGCTGTAAAAATGTGCATAAGTAATATTCAATTTCAACATTTCTGTCAACGTAGTACGTCATATCCTGTGAGGGGGCCGCTGCTGTAAACAAACCGGCGTGCGCGCATCATAGACTGTAAGTGCGCATGGATCCCAAAGATGAAAAAAGAAAGAGTCGATAGTAAAACTGGACTAAGAATGAGAATGAACATTTCCTTTCAGTCAATGAGGAAGGACTGCTTCATGTTTGCGTTGTAATAAGAAGTTTTGTTTCAACACGAGGAACAATGAAGCGCTAAACATCGTTCACGGGGATTACGTGAAGGATTCATTCCTCAAAAATTCAGAGCACCTACTTTTAGACTTCAAAAACCTCCGCAAAGACAATGAAAGAAAAGGCCATTCATTAACATTTATTCCTCTCCAGCAAACTTCAGCCTGTGACGTGATGGATATGAGCAGACAGTGATGCAGGTGAACTCTGAGCCCAAAGCAGATTTATTTACTGTATTTCTACAATTGCATGAAGGCAAAAAAATGGAAGTTAAACTTAAAGCAGAGTTGTCACGTGGTGCGTCGTTCTCTTCACGACACGCTGCAGTGAAAATACACATTTGATCAAGAATGATTATTATGTATATGTAGCCTTTACTTTGTCATTTAGATATTGGGCTGATATAGCTAATACAGCTTCAGCCTGTGTTACCTTCATAAAAGGCTGTTATCTTTTTTGCGGCTCCAGACAGATGTTGTTGTTAGTTTTTTTGTCATTTGACCCATCCTAACGCCACTTGGGCGTCTGTCAGGAGCAGTGGTAGCCGTAGTAACAGCGCCCAGGAACCCATCTCTAGATGTGGATGCTTGGCTTGGTCAGGACTACCGGAGCAGGAGGATATACCTATTGTGCACGTTTTTAGTAGTAGGGGAAACCGGAGCATCTGGAGGAAACCTAGACAGGCACGGGGGGGAGAACATGCAAAACTCCACTCTGACTGGGATTCGAACCCTGGATCAGCAAGAAGATTCACTTATCCACCGTGCCGCCCATTATGCCAAGTTATGATTGCCTCAGCCCGGGAGGTAAAGTGATCATCTTTGTTGGTTTGTTTGTCTGTGAGCAGGGAAAAGGACGTTTTCAGGATTCTTTTGATACCATGATGTTAAAACCTGTATATAACTCATATCATCAAAGCCAAGTTTGAGCTTTATATTGTGGATGTGTTTTCTGTTTTGGTTGTGACTGCAATAACAGAGAGACACAAAGGCAGCTCCACCTCAGGCTAATGTCCACTAAGAGCTCTTTATGTTCACAACAGAATAATACCAGCGCATATGCCTTTCATCATGTCTGCTTTAAAAGAACCATAATTGGACTGAAACCACTGAAGCCGTGTGGGTGAAACTAGAAAACTAACGCTTACGTAACGTCATTGTTTGGTGTTGGGATTCACAAGCACCAGATCACCACGGCTGTCCGAACGGTGTGGTGACGATTGGCAATAATGAATAATAACAGCAATGGTCCTTCTGTCTATCTGCTGGACTTATTCTGGAGAATCAGTGATGTACTGGGGGCGAAGAGACCAGAGGACATCGCAAGTCAAAAAAACCAGCTGCAAACACAGGCGAGTGATTGTAAAGAACGTCACTTCCAAAACTTAGGTAGGGGCAATACTTTTGTTTTAAAAGGCGGAAAGCTGATGTTGGCTTTGATTAACGGTAAAGGGAGCTATAATGAAATATCTAATAATCTACCCTTTTCACTTATATCCAAAGAAACTTCATGTTGTGGCGTTTCTCTGTATCATCTCTATGAAGAAAATGTTTGGGACCCTCCCACTATAAACTACCTCTTTAACCCTTAATAGTTTCCTCAATCATTTGGTAGATCACCTTTTGAGCCATTATGTATCTACTTTAAGCTTGGAACTCAAATCATACCTCATTGGGGCATCTTACCTGGTTTTCGGAACTTTTACCATCAAACTGCATCTCAACCATTTGGTAAAGGCCTATATCTCCCTCTTCAACGAGTGAATGTTAATAAAGACCTAAGCGACATTAACATCTGCAAACTATTTCGCTTTTTTTTAAAACAACTCTATATCCACCTACCAAAAACTCTCCCAAAACACAATTAAATGCCTCCTGTTATCAACAAAGCTGCAGACTCAAACATTTAAAGAGAAAAATGAATTGCACAGCTGCTGATGGAGCCCAAAACACAGTACTTCATCAGCAGCAGCTTCACTCTGAGGCGCCGCGCTGTCACTCAATCAAATACAACCACAAAGAAAAGTGCACCACGACCAACGTTAAGGAAACAGGACCGCGCTCGATCCAGAAAATCCATCCATGCAACAATATTCCCTCTACTTTAGGCATGTCAAACTCGGGACCATGAGCCAAATCCAGCCGGCGAGACCATTTTTAGTGGCCCCTGAAATGATTATCAGTTTTCTTTAGTAACTTGCCGTATTTATGGTAAGTGGCTGCTTTGGTTTTTTATATTTCATGATAAAGTCTATTGTCTTTTGTCTCAGGAATACAACCATGTATCTGTTCTGAAATGCAACTAAAATGTCAATAGAAGTAATAGTTACTTTTCTTAATCAGTCTTCCTCTTATTGATGTTTGGGCTAGTTTGGGTTGAATCCAAAACTATAAGGATATATCATCGGCTTATTAAACGAGCGCGAGGTCTGTACAGAGAAATATCAGACTGTAGCCTTTTTGTACAGACCGAGCCGTGGCGAGGTCTGTACAAAAAGACCAAGGTCTGATTTTTCTTTGTACAGACCGAGCAAGCGAGTAAGTAATCTTTATTTATATACCGCCTTTTCACTGCAGATCTGAGTCTCAAAGCGGTTTACAATTGTTAATTTTGGGCATTTGTCTCTCACTCCACACAGAGATGGGAGCGGGGTCGCCGGTACAGGACGCGCATGCTAGAACTATTGGACATATTTTTAGTGGTAGGGGAAACCGGAGTACCCGGAGGAAACCTACGCAGACACAGGGAGAACATGCAAACTCCACTCAGAAAGGCCCTGGTCCGACCGGGATTCGAACCCAGGACCTTCTTGCTGAGAGGCGAGAGTGCTATCCACTCAGCCACCGTGAGGTTAATAAATGTTTTATTATATGACTATTTTTAATTTATGCAAATCCGACTTGGTTTTCCTAACCGTGTTTTTAGCTTTCTGGTCTGTAACGAAGTTGTCAATCTCTTCTTGACTGTTAGGAGTTGTGTTTTCGTCGTTATTTGCTGTTATTTCTTCCTCTGGCTCTTCGAAGTCGTCGCTCATTCTTTCTTTACCGAGGAAAGATATCAAATTTGATACGCGCTGCAGCCAATTGTCATGGTAACGGTCCAAGATGGAAAAATATCAGACCGCAAATCCACCAATCAGAGCGCGCGATCCAAGTCATATAATGAGATCTTCTATCAAACTTATGTCAAATACAGTTATTTTATCAAAAAACTGTCACACTTCTGGCCCCAAACAGCTCTAATGTTTTTAAATTTTTCCCCCCACCAAAATGAGTTTGACACCCCTGCTCTACGTGGACGATTACCTGGAAATCTCAATCTTAATCTATGTGAGAATTACAGCAGAGACTAGTCAGACTATACTGTAACAACATGGATGAATATTTTCTTTTTCAGCCTGAAGTGGTACATGGTGGAAATATAGAAAAGTAGTATTGTCATTGTTGACCACTAGAATTAGTTTTTTTCTATGAGCGCTATATCTTAGTTTTACCTAACTTTACTACTTTTAAGTACACACAAGAGCAAAAATTTTACTTTTAAGATTCATATGCCCAAGCACATTCCCAAGCCCCATCTGTCCAAATGCTCCATTTTCAAACTTGGTACACAATGGCTATTTGTTAAGAATAATATTTTATGGTTATTCTCTATAAGGACATTTTATTCGTTCATATGTTTGACTTATGTTTCATAATCTAAAACAAGGGAAATACTGTAAAAAATAAAAAGCAAAGAAAAAAAAGGTCTAAATGAACGCAAAATACTATCCCATATTTAGCTTTAGATTGTGAGTCGTGCAAGTGGGGGACAGACTCGCTCCTGGTTGGCTCTTTGGTTGCTACGATTGGATTGTTGTGGCGTGTCCTTATTTGCGAATTAATACATTATATTGGTGTTCTTTTGGTGCCACCTGCATGTGAAAGCCAGATTCCTCTGAAGCTAAGCAGGGCAGGACCTGGTGAGTATTGTGATGGGAGACCCCTTAGAATCCAGGTGCAGCTGTAACGTCCCAAACTGTTGTTGTGTCCTTAGGCAAGACACTGCACCCACATTGCCTAGAATGAGTCTGGTGTGTGTGTGAATGGGGGGTGGTGGTCGAAGAGGCCGAGGACGCATACTGGTTGCCTTGCTTCTGTTATTGTGCCCCAGGGCAGCTACAGTAGTAGTTTTGACCACCGAGTATTAAATTAATGAATAATAGCATGTGAAGCGTCTTTTGAGTGTCCAAAAAGGCTCCATGTAAAACCAATGTTCTTTCAAAGTTTAAACAGTATCACACCTGGCCCGCTGATCTGGGAGGTGCTCCTGCTGCGGCGGTTGCCCACGATGGCGACCACTTTGGCGCTGAGGCTGGAGCGTCTCTTCTTGGTGCCTCCGCTCACCGTCCCCAGAGCCGTGTCCGACTGGCTTCCGTCCGTCCGCTCCTGGCTGTAGATGTCGCTGCTCACACTGGAGCTCTTCATTATGCTGCGACCGCCTGAACCACGCATCCTGAACACACAAACACACACACCGCAGGAGTTAAAACTATCATTCTACAACACCACACACAAACACAATACAACACGAGTTTTGGGATTAGAAGCCAGTTGGAATACTGTACCTGGTTTTGAGGACAACACTTAGGTATGGAAAGTGCAGGGGATTTATACTTTTACAAGAACACATCGGGATAAGTGGTGGTGGAGTGATGATAGTCAAAACTTCAAGAAATTAAAAATACTATGAAGGATGTCGGTTCTTTATTCATGGTACAAGTCTGGTCTAGTATTATATCAATATTCTACTTATCAACCATTTGTCTCAGGGGCAACTTCATTCATTAGTGGATCATTACTAAATTATCAAATTGATTTAGCATATTTTAGACTGGAAAATATATAAAAAAGGGGTTGATACGTTGGTTGTATTTTAAAGGTAGAGAGAAAAGGAGGAGTCTGTTGCATTCTATTACCTAACGTAATTGCCATTGGGTATGTTTGTCTCTTGTAGTTAGTTAATTACAAAATACATCAAATAGCTATGGACAAATGTATATTAAGTTTTCAGTAGATTTAGATGAGGCAGAGACCTGAGCTGGCTGTGTTTCTATTAGGCTTTAGTATCTAGTATCGTATCCTAGCAACTTACCCACAACCAACCAGCATTCAGGTAAATGTCTTGGTAACCATGGCCTCCAGCAGCATCAGTTAAGCTCCCTATTGGAGTAGAGTAGAGCCCAGTAGAGTAGGACCAAATTGGACTACTTCCGCCTCCGTCGAGCAAAGACGTGTCTCAGACGCTCCTGCTTCTGACTGCTTGCTATCTCCTGTTTTTGTCTTTTTCCTGGAGTTTTGCCACAGACAACTTTAAGCAAGAATGGAAATGATTAATTGGTCCCTCAACGCAATTGATTCTATCTTTTCAACACGTAAGCGTGGGTCTGGAGAGCCCGTGTGCCCGGACGGGACTTCACTTGCGGGGTATACGCTTGACAGCTGGAACAAGTTTCAGCCCCTATGTCTGTCAGTCCTGTCTATTGAAGATTCGGAAGACGTATATATCTTTGGCATTTTGGTGGTGGGAATCCTCCTGTTTGGGTTTGGAGCGGTTCTCTTCTACCACAAATTCGGAGGCATGGCAGTTCGCAAGATTCACGTCCTGCTGGCCGACAAAATTGATGGGATGTACAAGGAGCTTAACCGAGTCGTGGTTGAGAGTGCCGTGGCTGGACAACGGAGAGTGGTGTTGGTGGAACAGTTGATAAAAGATCTTGCAGCTAGTTCACTCGAAGGGAACAAAACTCTGGAATTGAGATTGAATGACATTGTTTGTCAGGCTTGAACTCTCTGACCCGGCTTGGATTTGCCCCTGTGTACGGAGGTCTGAGGGCGCCGCAATTCGGATTAATTGGATTTAATAGAATATCTGCCTGTTTTTGACTGCGACATTGCATATAATATTGTCCCTCTCAGGCGATGTGTTTTTCTCCAGCTGTGTCTTCTCTCCACTCTTATCTCACATTCCTCGGCCAAGGCCATAATAACAAGTCCGGACTATCTACAACAACTCACACTATTCAGTCTTCAGTCTCCAGCTCGGATCCCCTACCCCCGCCTCCCTCTGATCTCTCCCTCCCCTCCACTCCTCATTGTGTTTCCGACTCACCCCCTCCCTGACCCCGCCCCCCTCTGACAGCCACATTGGGCCGGCAGTCGGAGGTGCTCATCCCGAGAAAAAAATCCGTGGTTTATTCAAAGCACAATGTGTCTATCCAACTGTCTGTGTAATCTGTGTGTTATTGCTCTCTGCTGTTTATTCTACTGTTTGTCGCATGGCGCCGTAAAGATGGCGCCGTGGCAAGAGCTCTGGTGTGTGTCGTCTTCTCTGTCTGGCGCACACCGGGGTAGTCTTGCACAGTTTTCCAATGTGGTTTTACTGCAAATGGCAAATAAATGAATCTGAATCTGAATTGGGCTGGTGGAATTATTTAAGCACCACTACTTTATGCTATTTGTCCTATTAGCAGAAGACCTTACCCTTCTCAAAAACCTTTTTCCACAGTGACAGCTAATTCCAATGTAGTTGCTTGGGAGACGGTAGTTGCTATGTAGCTGGACATGTTTGTAAAAAGTAATAAAACAAAAAGGACATGGGAACATTGATTGTTATTGTAAATAGAATTTCATATTTTTCAGCTACAAATCTCAAACCAAATGTACATAATCTTTGCAGTATTTCCACACCGGGTTGTGGCTTTAAAATTAAGTCACCACTGGAATACATGCTAGCTAACATTCGCTAACATTAGTTCTGAAACAGTTGAATCCACTTGGACAGAGGCGCGATGAGGGTCTGCGCTGGCCCCTGGTCCGGATCAGTCGCCTCATATCCATATGTTCGGAGGGGGTCAAGGTGCTACAGGATACCCCCGCCACACTGCCCCTGTCTCCCCCAAGGTCGGGCCACTGTGGCGGGGACAGAGGCAGGCTGCTCAGGGGCCTCTCTGCTGCCCCCGGAGGTGATGGAGGGGAGGGTGGCAGTGGTGGTGGGCAGTCACAGCACGGGACACAAGCACGGAGGGGTCTGAGGCATGCGGGGAGGTATCTACACACACAACACAGACTGAATGAATGTACATGTACGTATAATCGACATCGACAAGAGGTTCTGAACTAAAATCTCAATTAGAATTTGTTGGTTAGACGAATATATAGGTTTTTATTAGGTTGTTCTGTTTTGTAAGTTTTAGTATCTGGGATGTACGGATGTACAATGTGAAAAGGCGGTATATAGTGAAAAGGCGGTATATAAATAAAGATTACTACTTACTACTACTACAATAGACTTCCTTTTTTGCTTTGTACTTTAATATGTTCTATGACTTAAATGTGCTTATGAAAAAAGACCAACTAAAATGTTGAGCTTGTATGACAATATATTTTGCCATTTGATAGATATGTTTCAATCAGATGTGCTTCGGATAAACGTCACGGATAAAAGTGACCCCATATACAGTTGTGTTTGTAAGTATACCATCTATGGAGATTAAGAATGAGACACAGAGGGTAGTGGTACTTTGCTCATGGTCGTGTGAAGCCATTTATAGTCAAAAAAACGTGTGTTCTATTTTTAAATTATAATGACAGAAATGCTCAAACTATCCTGATCAGAAGCCTCCATCCCCCAGTTCTCACGAGTGTGTGTTTCCCCTTTAACATCTAAGTCTTTTGTGGTAGTTGTAGATGAGGTTCTGTATCCTCTCTGATGATAAATTGCCTCAATGGTAGCCCAGAGATTTTCAAGTTGCTGAAAATTCCTGGGCTACCATTCATGAACTGCACATGTAAGATATCCTCATAGCAGCTCAATGATGTTATAATAATAATTGAAAAATTTACAATAAATAGCTTCAAACAACCACTGACTAATCTACAAAATATAGCAAAAGCAATGAAATATCTCCCTGGTTGGGTAAACTCACATAAACAACTATATTAAATCAAAAACGTTATTTTTGTGTATTTCTAGAGAAGCTAAAAACAAAACCACCAGCCCATCACTGATTCAATACTAAAATTAGTCATTGCAAATCACATTTTGTTGTTAGTCAAGAGAGAGCAGTAGAATTAAAAGCCCTAGTCCCTTCACCAGTTTAATGTAAGTCCTCTAATCCATACTAGCACAAATATGGCTTGGATACTACTTTGTCTTACTTTCATCGCTGCACTAACCCATTCTAAATTGTGCTAAATGCCACCGGCCTGTGCTTTTATAACACAATTGAGATTGATTTGCGGCGTGGCTGCAGAGAGCGGGCCCTTTCTCTCCTCACTCAGTCTAAAGCCAATACATTAGCGGGATAATAACCTGCACTACATTCGCACCTCGCCCACTGGGAGCGCCTCGTTTGTCCCTGTCAGCTCCGAGCCACAGGAAAAGCACTGGATCTGACCTCGGCTTTTTAACAGGAAGAAAATATATAGAGCCCAGAAAATTCACCTTATATGCAACGTGTTGTGGATTTGTCTCAGTTCAAAAACAGGCTTTTGATTTTATCTGGCAACCTCATTCACTCACGGAAAGAGAATTGCCGTCGTTTGGTGAATATGTGTTTGTCTGTGTTTGAAAGAGAGCAATAGCTTGTGTGGTTATGAAATTTATTAATCTCACAGCTGCTGTGTTTATTAAATGAACATGAACAAATTATGTATTTTAGTATAATGCACATTTTTCCTTGCTGATGGAGGAGGTCTAAAAACAAGGGACGATCCGGATCACTATGTATGTCTGATTTTGACAAGACACGACACTGCTGTCTTTAAAATAAATTTTAACTGAAGGTTATTCCCAACAAATTCAAACACAAAATAACCCTTTTAGAGCTAGTTGTTTGTTTTAGGTATTTTTTAGAGACAGCAGCTTTTGGGATTGTTCTATGGTCCTATATTTTACTTTATAACTTTGCACTAGTTTTCATTATGTCTATTCATAATCTCTATGAGAGATTTACACCTAAAATTGTACTTTCATTTTCAAAGTAAACTCATTCATTTTTGCTTTCTTCTTAATCTTACAATTGCAGACCCAGCAAATTGGACTCTATGGTCTTTCCTAGTATAGTGGATTTACCTGGACTCTATGGTCTCTCTTAGTATCCGTGGATTTACCCTGACTCTATGGCCTCTCCTAGTATAGTGGATTTACCCTGACTCTATGGTCTCTCCTAGTATCAGTGGATTTACCCTGACTCTATGGCCTCTCCTAGTATAGTGGATTTACCCTGACTCTATGGCCTCTCCTAGTATAGTGGATTTACCCTGACTCTATGGTCTCTCCTAGTATCAGTGGATTTACCCTGACTCTATGGCCTCTCCTAGTATAGTGGATTTACCCTGACTCTATGGTCTCTCCTAGTATCAGTGGATTTACCTGGACTCTATGGTCTCTCCTAGTATCAGTGGATTTACCTGGACTCTATGGTCTCTCCTAGTATCAGTGGATTTACCTGGACTCTGCACTCTCTCCTCCCACCGTGTGCCTCCTTCGCTTCAACTCGTCTGAGAACCTCCTCTTCCCCGCGGCCCTCCTCCGCTCCTCATCCCCGTCCACCCCCCACGAGATCCTCCGGTCTCGCTTCTCCTCCTCCAGGGAGTTGGACCTGGCTCCGAGTCCAGGTTGTTTGCACGGTTATGTTGTGTGTAAGAGTGGAGCATGCACACACACACACACACACACACACAAAGACACACACACATGCAGCAGCGGGCATGCAGAGAAAAGCAAACCATGCAAATTAACATGAGACGTTCAATATTTGGACTAAAGCCGAGAACTCCCAAGATTTTCCAGGTAAGAGAAATATATTATTGGAAACAAAAAAGGTACCCCAGCTTTAATCGGTCATTATTGACACCTGACAGTATATATACAGTATAGCCACTTGTTTGTACATTAGTTCGAAATAATCCACAGTCTACAGCTGAAACATATTGATAACTATAGTAACTGTCTAATTTCTAGCCTTAAAGCTATACTTTCTGTTATTCGTAGGACAATCCACATGAAACAAAAACGTTCAAAAAGTTCTACATCTTCAGGCAGACAATATTCAAAAAGGACTTTCAGAGATCAGAATAGTGTGGCAGTTTTACATAACTTTCAAATAATCATCTGGGGGAAGTTAGATTGGCATTTCTCTTCTTTCTAAAATGGCTTCTTTCCCAGAGAGTTCTATACACCTTTTGTGGATCACTTCCATAGTTACGGAGGGGTAAACAAATGTTCTTGACAAGCGCTATTTCTCTATTATGCTGACACACAGCCTGCAGCTACAGCAGACAACACCGCTAACAGCTGGATTCAAATCAAATACTGTGAGCTGCTCCCACTCTCTGGCCCTCACTCCTACAACCAATCAGAAACTCCCACTCACTACAGAACTTTAAATCAAGTCTCAAGACCCACCTATTTCACCTTGCATCTCCTTCATTTCGCTCCTCTGTTTATTTTATGTGGTTTTTTAAGCGTATTCGAGTGTCCCAAAAAGTGCTATATAAGTTTTATGTATTATTATTATTATTACTACTTGTCTCATTTACTTTCCAATCCGTAACTATAGCACTGATCACTTGGTGTACTGTATATAGGCCCCTGCCCTCCAACTGAAATATACAACAGCTTGTGCTCACCATAGTAACCTTGGGGATGCTCAACTTTGGCTAAATAGCAGAACTTATATGACTTAAGAGAACGTATCTATAATATCTATATATATATATATATGTGAAATGACGCACCTGAACCTCCCGGCCGGATACTCTGATGGGATGGAGCTGGTGCTGCTGAGTCTGGAGATGCTGGAGGCTCGAGAGTTCACCGACATGTCACTCATGTCGCTGTCCGAGGAGCGAGCGGACGTGTTGTCGCTGCTGCCTCTCTGCCCTGCGTAGTTCTGTTTGATTTTGAAAAAACAGGTACAATAAGGTAAAAACATATACAAGCGTTATAATATTTTCAATGCTTCAATAGATAACAAGTCAAAAAAGCTTGCATTTTTTCCTCTTTATGGTTATATAATTGGTATTTTATTGTTACTGTGTTTTTATTTTAATTGCTTTTATTTCATACATCTGATTGATTTCTTTTTTTTCTCACATTTAAATGTATTTTCCAAACGTACAAATATACATATATATATGAACAGAATCAGAATGAGAATTATTTGTATTGCTATTGTAAGTAACAAGAAATCATAAACTAGAAAATTTCTGGTGCAAATGAATTAAAAGGTAAAAATAGAATAAAGTATGCATAAAATAAATTACATAACAGATGATAATAATAAAATGGTATAATCTTATAAAATATATATTCTTATAAAAGCATTTTCAGTCATTTCACATTGGACTAGTGTGACTGCTGACATGGGCGGTTGGACAGAACCAGTTTAACGCCACACACCTTTCGTTTGGTCTTGAGGTCCATCTCTCGGTCGTGGGACGATGAAGGCCTGTTGTAAGGATGCACTTTCTTTGGCAGCTGACCTCCTCTGTCATCTCCTGCCAGGGCTGAACAGTGACAAGAATGTATCAGAGAAAACACTGACATTATGTAAGGCATTTCTTTAGTCACAGTCCGTAGTGTAATGTCAACATTCGGACAGCAGGTGGCGCATGGTGCTGAGGTTTGGCAGTCATGTTCGGGCCTGTGTATAGTCAATCAGGAACTTCAATCAGGAAAGGTTGTACTAAGATAGAATAGTGTTTGTCCGAATAAAAAGAGACTTAAAACTTTAAAATTTTGTCCAGAAATCAAGTCTTAAATGTATTAAAAGACATTGTGCTGCTAAATCCAGGTGCTCAAATGCAGAAGCAAATTCAAATCCAGCCTTATTTTGTGTTTTGTTTATAGTTTATATTGTTTGAAATACATTCTTACTATACTATCTATACGTTAGTGGTAATATAATGGTGTCTCTATCACTTTTGCACACACACACACACCCTTGATATGTAGATATACCCTTTAAACTTTCACATCATGCAGAAAGATCCCTGTGAGTCACTATTTGACTATTTGGGCTGAGTGCTGTCCGCTGTTTTTCACTTTTCTGTCAGAAAAGTTGATCCAAAGATGTGACATAGGCCAAATGTAGATGCTTTGAGAGATAGAAATGTGTTAGTTGAATGTTAGTAAATAGTTAAAGTAGCTACGGCTTTAAAGTTAGGTACCCCAGCTTTATATGTCTATCTAGTATTACACATGGCACAAAATATCAAACAACCAAAGTGGTATGCAAAGAAACACGCCGTTTGAGCAAATCTAATAATGTTTTTCTTTGTTTCAATACATTTTCACGTTAAAAAAACCTTATTCTTAAGAGTAAAAATCTTGTAAAATTCTCTCATGTAGATTAGATTTCCTGCAGTGCACAGATGGCTCATGGGTAAACCGCGACCACAGAGCAGTTACAGAGCACATCTCAGTATTTGATTTGCCAGAAATAATCATCTCATGGAACAAACAAATTAATTAGTGCACATTTCCAAAGGAACAATACCAAATGGATTTAATTCATTACGTTAAATAAATCAGGATTCAACAATAACAAGAAGACGAAAAAACTAATACCAAACAAAAGCAGCCTAAGTTTCATTGTGAGTTTCTCAAAATACCTGCTTCAAAGAACAATGTCATAGTAATGTAATATACTGTATGATGAAGTTTACACAAGCCAGTAATTTCAATGTTTTGTTTGGAGATTATGATTGCTAACCTTTTTCCGCCACTAATCGTTAGTGATTGTGTGAAGCCATATATTTCCAAACAAACCTGTTTTCTATTCTCAAATTAGAACATCATGGCCTTTATAATAAAAATAAAATATAAATTGTGTTTATTAGACCATAAATGGCTTCACACAATCACTAACAAGGATTGGAAAGATGATCATTCATAATCTTATTCATAGATGTGCGAGAGTGTATGTACATGTCAATATGCACGGCTATGTGTGTGTGTATATGTATGTATGTATATTTATGTGTGTGTGTGTGTGCGTGTATGTGCTGTATAAGGTGAATTTAGGTAAATGGGGTGGGAGCTTATACATTTGACCTCTTCCCACTCCTTTTTGAGCTTTGACAGGAGCACAAAATTGCCATATAAGTGCCACGTATGACGTCTTTCATTCATTTATTCAATAAAAAAAATATATATATATATAAAAAAAAGTAATCTCTGGAAAAGAGACATTTGCACCTGGTTGTATAACTTTACTTTTACACCCACCTTGCTCGATGCTGCTGCTCTTGGCCGGGAGCTGAGGGAGTTGCCTGCCTCTGCGGCCGGTTCCTGGTGGAGACGGGCTGCCCTGAAGTCTGCCATTCACAAAAAAAAGAAGAAGAAAAGCCATCATTAAAATTACACCCAAACTCTCTCAGAAAACTCACTCACAGAAAGGCTACACATGAGGAGAGAGCAGGAACAGCGACTGCATGTTTAATCCAATAGAAAAAAACACATGGGGAGTTTTTAATCGGACCACTGCGGGAGAGAAAGGGACTCTTGGATGGATATTCAGTTGGGTTCTCGTGAGGTTTGTGCACCTTTCGGGACGCGGAGAGTTTGGACACGAGCCGGACAAAGGAGGCAGCCTCAGGGGACCCCCTCGGCCCCGACTGCCCCGCAGGATGGACGTGGGCTGGATACGGCTGCACCAGCAACAGTGAGTTTGAACGAAATGTGGAAAGCATGCGGATAATATAAGTGAAGTAAACTGTGAGAGTGAGCGGATCAAAAGAACAAAAACAGGCTGCAAAAGAATCAGCATGAGTTTAAAAGTTTTATTTGTTAACGTCAAAAAGTGCAATATGGAACTGCAAGTGTCCACTGTCACTTTACTTTACTACAACTGTGCAATAACAATTCTAATACTGTCAGGATGTACAATATGGAACCACCTTAAACAGATATTGTCATTCCTGGCAATATGATGCTTTGCCAGGAATGACAATATCTGTTTGTTTTTTTTAATTTAATTTCAGTGCTTAAAATACAACTGAAAATGATTTTTTTTTTTAAACTATTGTTGGAATGAGCAGCTTGCCAGGCACAGGAGGCACATGCAAAAAACTCTCCCCAACCATTCACAGAAAGTCCCAGGAATTGAACCCAGGGCCCGTCTCTTGTGGGCCGCCATGCTGCCCATAAGAGGCTAAAAACATACTACAGTGTATAATAAAAAGCCTTTTCATACAGAATAGTCCAACTGAGATGTAAAAGTCTTTTTCAGGGGACTATGCGTGTTCTCCCCATGTCTATGTAAGAACCCCTATCACTAAAACATGCACAAACTCCACACAGAACTCAGTGCTAACCGCTTAGCTGCGACATGATGGACGACCTGCAACTTTTAAAAATGGTTTTTCAATCATTTTCTTATGTTTAAACTAAAAACAATCGAACAAAACAATCTATACATATTTATCAAAACCAAATAATAAAACACTTTAAACTCATGATTTCTTTTGCAGTAACAATGATGTCATCTTACCTGTCCCCTTCCAGACTTTTGCGGCTGCCTTTTGGATTGGCACAGTTGGGACTGGGTGAATTGTTACACTGTCTGCTATTGTGGCAAAAAGATGAAATGACAGAAATGAAGGATGTAACATAATAATGACTCGCACTGCAAAAATATGATGCACAACGTTAGCATTACTTAGCACTAGCATTATCAGCATTATCAGCATTATCAGCATTGTCAGCATTATCAGCATTGTTAGCATTATTAGCATTGTTAGCATGATTAGCTTTACTGCTTCTACATTTTTGACTCACTTGGTTAGAGGTTAACTTTGTGTATAAATGCCATAACATCAATTAGAAATCAGTCATAAAATGTCAATATCTCCAACACAAAACAACTCAATAAATATTTGAGTTATTTTCTAAATTACAGATGTGTTTTTGCAGTTCACAGAAATAGAAAGGATGCGATGGATGTGAAAACACGATGCAATTACAGCAGGTTTTATTGTTTGATTTGCCAGTAACAATGCGAGAACAAAGGCACTGAGGAACTGGGGGACAGGTGCGCAGCGAAAGGAACAGGTGCAGGGGAATAAAGGAGGATTACAAGCGCCTTGGAGCCAAATATTTGGGCAAAACAGACCATAGCACTGTCTCCAATGCAACGGAAAATGTTTATTCTGGCAAAAAAACGACTTGAAATCAGATAATTCTCTATGTAGATAAAAAAAATGTTTTATGAGAGTTGACTGGAATAGTTTCATTGATGAGTTGTGCAAGAAGGAAAATATCCAAAAGGACCACTTCATAATTGTATATACCTCAAAAATATCTTACATTTCTGATCATTTCTCTATATATGAAACAAAAAACATAATTTGTTCTGATTATACTTGGTTAGCTTAGATGTATACAAACATACCAGGACAAAGGACAATTCATTTTCTGATAAAGAAAAAAAGCTTGGAATATTTTGTAATAAATCTACATAAAATCACAGTTTCTGAAGTTACTGACAAAAAATATTGTTTGAAAAGTATTGTGTATATATTTAATGTTGTAGTAGTAGTTTATTCTTAATCAAATCAATACAATATGCTAGATGTCCATAGATATTGCTTTACAAATAGCGTGCACCCCGTGAAGACTAGCACCCACTTGTGGAGGCTAATGGAGATCCAATTGAAAAAGTAAATAGATCAAAAATAACTTTCTGAATTCAAGTCATTTCCACTCATGCTGAAGCAGGAGGAGTAGCTCTGGGTCCAGGAGGAAGCAGCATTTTGATTGGTTAAAGAGGGAGGCGAACAGGGAACAGAAGCAGTGAGGCCTGGTACCTGTCTTCTTCAGGGGTCACTAAGATCCGGGGGCGGGGGGGCAGAGAGTCGGAAAACCTGGAGGGAGGATGGGTGGAGGAGGGAGGGAGTGAGTGAGCCTTGGGACGCTAAAGAAGACATATACTGTAATGTGGCTGGACACTATGCATCAGGGGTGGGGAAAAAAATCGATTGTCTTGAGTATCGCTAAATTAATTGTGATATTTTATTTCAATAATTATCGGTTTCACTTTTGTGTTTTTTCAGAATTTTCTCTGGTTACATTTGTGTATTACATCCACAAGGATGCGCTTGTTGCGGTGTTTTGTTTTTGTGTATTCATGAAATAGTAAGCTCAAAAGATACAGTTTTCGCAATAATAAACGTGACATTTAAGTCTTATTTTCCTCATTTTAATATATTTTTTGAATAATATGAGGGACATGTATTGCAATATATCGCAGAATCGAATCGTAATACCTGCTGTATCGCGATATGTTAAGAATCGCAATAATATTGAATTGTGGCCCAAATATTGCAATACTATCCAACGACACATTTTTGCGAAATCCCACCAATACTATGCACTTTACTTAAAGAGTAAACTTTTTTTCATAATTTATACGTGTTTGTCCCAAAAGAAAGAGTTGTGTAAAAGTTAAACTATGTAAACAAATCAGACTCCGTGCTGTCAATATCTTTTGTCTATCTGATTAGAAACACGCTGTTTTCATGCATACTTGTGAAAGAAAATGCCCTTCTTCTATGTTTTGGGCTGAGAGCTGATTGGCTGAGTGAGGGTGGTCCTCTCTACTTCTCTGTTATAGCTGATCTAAAGACGTAACGGGGGCCAGCAATGTATACATGTGAAAACTAGTGATAGAACAAAACTGTTTTAGATCCAGCTTTAAGCAAGGGAATAAGACAAGATAAACTGACTCTCCGATCTGTGTTGGTGATGTCAATGGTTTTGTTAAGTCCTCTGAGATGACTTTTGTTGTGATTTAGGGATATACAAGAATAAATTGTATTGTATTGTATTGTAATTGAATACTATCCAATAGTAGAGTTTATATTTATACCCGTATCTGTACTGTTACTGATGAACTTAAGAATATTGTATTAATCTCGTTTTCATCTTACATTTGCCTCGTTTTGTTTATAATTAGTGCATGCCATAATAATTGTGAAATATCAATATTGGCCAAAAACAATGTTAAAAGAAACAAGTCAACACACACCTCATTCAGTCGCGTCAAATGGCTTTCTGCACTGCACAGATTTTTTTCCCATTTGAGCAAAAATGCCTTTGCAAAACTGTCCAATCATTGACGGTGGTTTACAAAAAAATACTTCTACAACTATATCTACATTTTGAAGAATCTAAAGATGAAGATGGCTCACAATCAGGGACGTGCAGTCAGGGGAGGCAGGGGAGGCAGAGCCTCACCTGCCATTATTGGAAACTAATAATTATTTTAGTTTAAATATATAATTTATATCCACTGTCCTATGCTTTTAATGTATATTCGGCACGGTTCCCATCAGTTTTGATCATTTCTGAAGTCAAAATCGCCGAAATCCCGTTATTCCTATTCAAAGAGACGAGGTGAGGCAGCGCTCCTGCGTGCCTCACCCCAGACCGCTCCCTCACAGTGTGTGTGTGTGTGTCTGAGTGCACTCAGCTCGTGCAGTTGATATATCACCGTTTGTTTCAAATATCCTGCTTTAAAAACATTTTTTAAACTCCTCTTAGTGTTTAGTAGTGTATTGCACGTATGTGTGTACAATTTATATTTAGTCTTTTGATCGTAGATGAACACACAAGGAAAAAGCTTGGCGTGAGGCAGGCGGTATCTGTGCCTCACCGCTAGGGGTGATAGTGAGCATAAAGTTCATACCAGAGTTGCTAACAAACAATCAGCCCAAAATGCTATTTCTTTTGCTGGAAAATGGATGATTTGAATGAAGATTTTTTTTCTCAATTGGACTTTCAAACAAAGAAAGAATTAATATAGACTGGGAGACCACCACTGGACTTACGAGGTTAGTCCGGCTGCGGGGGAGGAGTTTGTTAATCTGTGTTTTATGTTGAACATTGACAGATACCGGCAAAGTAGTGCTTTTCCGAAAAATACTGATTCAAACACTGCTCAAGAGTTCTGCAACTTGTTTAAATTATTGTTTATGTTCCTCGCGTCTCTCTCTCCTCGCGTCTCCGTCTCTCTCTGCTCCTCGCGTCTCCGTCTCTCTGCTCCTCTCTGTCTCTCTCTGCTCCTCTCTCCTCGCGTCTCTCTCTCCTCGCGTCTCTCGCACCTGCGCTTCTTAAAGATGTTGTTTGATGCGGAGCAGAGTCAGCAGCTAGATTTGTTGTGAGATTATTAAAAGAAGCTGGTTCTCTTATCTTTACAGTATATAAAGTTTGTGGATGTCATTGCATTGGTGATTAAATGCTATTTTATTTGAATAATGATTGTAAATCTGACTTTTAAAGTCAGTGCCTCCCCAATCACAAACCTCACCGCACGTCCCTGCTCACAATATCAGAAAAGTTAGAGATTAAGAAAGCAGGAAGGACAAGTACATATGGTCCATGATGAGGTTATGTTAAATAGAAAGGATTGATGTCTCTTTCATTTTGTATTCACTTATATTTTCAGAATAAGTGTAAGGACAGACATGCACACCACAAACTGTAACATTACATTCATGCAAAACAGCAACACAAAGTAAACCCCGGATCATAACGAGTCACAACATCACGTCATTCATAAAAACTGTTGATATTTGTCTCTGGTCTCTGTACCTGTCTCTGTCATAGTGGTTGTCTGGCCTCAGACACGTGGTGCTGGCACTTCTGACTCTGTCCAGCGATGGCTGCAGGTCACTACACAGCCACAGGGGGCAGTAGAGAGAGAAAACAATGAATGGAGACAAGATGCTTTAAAGGAAAAAAAATAAACAATAAAAAATTAGAAGCAACAGAGGTGGAATGACTTTATAATAGATCAATGGGGATGAGCACGAGCAGCAAAAACAGCCATATTTAATTGTGGATATTTTAAATGTGGATTCAAAATATGTGACTTATGGATGAAATAATGGCTTGGGAGAAAGTGTACAATATATAGTTGTGGTGGGTTTCAAAGAGTAATCAAACAATCAAATGCTATATAATGGTTTTGCACACGTTTTTCAAAAAGGGTTTTATATCCCAATTTAGATTATGGCCTGAAATATTTCTGGAGTGATGCCAGTTTTGGTCTAACTCTTCTACTACCGTCATTGTGTTGCTGGTTGCTGTTGCAAATTACACACGGATGTAAATCTGATATTCACAGGGGTGGGAATGCATACAATTTTTCTTCCTCCCACACCTTTTCGAGTTTGAATAATGTGCAATATTGTAATGAGTAATTGTAAATCAGGGATTAGCTATTCAAGTCTATGTAGTGACATTTGAAAATTCATGTTTGACGTACATTGAACTCGAAATAAATTGACACTCAACTCAACTATGAAACAGATCCGAGATGATTCTTCTGGGTCAACTCTTTTCCCCCTAATGTCTAGCGAGATTAGGATGAGGACTTTGTGTTAATTTCAATGGAACCTCAACCAAAATGTGCAGGAAAATAAACAGTGCTATATGTTTGCATAGTGCTGTCATCAGAAGCTGGAGTCTGGACAGATGGCAGATCGTCGCCATCGCATGACACTGCATATAGACAGGAGGAGCAGGAAGCTGGGGCTTAAGGAGGCTCTGTGTGTGTGTGTGTTTGTGTGTGTGTGTGTGTGTGGGTGTGGATTAATGTATGTGGATATAACGAGAGAGGAAGTCCGATACAGTGGTGGAACAGGACAATGGTGAATGGGCTGAATTTCTTGCATTTTCAACTATCTAATTTGTCTTACTGTTACGCCAGGAAGAGAAATACTGCATTTATTAAAGGTCATGTTAAGGTAAACCAGGCATGTCCAAACCAAGGCCCGCGGGCCAATTGCAGCCCTCTGTGTCATTTTCTGTGGCCCTCTGCCTTGCTAACTCAAAGTGATCTTTCTAGCCAACTTCAGTTCAGTCCACATCGTCACGTTATTGTAAAAGGACAGACCTCTGGAATTCAGTCGTCGACTTGGTTTGACTGTAATAACTTTTGTTTTTGATTGTATGGTACTTATGTATCTGATTATTATACATTTGTCATTCAATATAGACATGGTATATCATCATTTTAAAAAGTTGAATCATATCAGTGCTGTCGGCGGTCCTTGGACAATTTCGCTGAACTAAAAAGGCCCTATTACTAAAAAGTTTGGATACCCCGGAGGGTAAACGTAATTGTTTTTGCAGGGAAATTTTCCTCTGCATTTGACCCATTCTTCCACTGCCGTTAGAATAAGCTCAGGAGCAGTGGTTGCTAGAGTACAGCATGGAGATTCCTACAGTGCACCCAGACATGGCAAGATATATGATAAATGCTAACTCCACACCAAAACGCTCAGGCCAGCATGGTGTATATAAATATGGAATCAATTATGGTCCTTTCCTCCTCTAAATTACAAGTTTTGATATTTCCACCAGAAAAAAATACTTGCTACTGAATCTCACCCAGACTGAATGTGGAGCAGTTTTTTCGTGAAGTACATGAAAAGCAGAAAACTGCTGACTGAGGCTGATTCAGACCAACTCCAGCTCGTCTCTAATCGGACAACCACGTTTTATTGTAAGTTCAGAATGTGTATATGCCGCTGCGGAAATGATGTTTGGCCCAGACTTGTGGGCTGCAACCCCCTCCCCGCCTCAGTCCTGCAATGTATATAGCCTCAGTCCTCGTTCTACAGTCTGAGTATTGGATCTTTACCCTCGGTCGGTTCATGGGTGCGGATCACTCGCTCATTATGGGTCTCCCCAAGGTTTCTCACTTTCTCACACTGGGTTTTTCAGTCGTTCCTCGCCGATGCAGGAGGGTCTGAAGACTGCAATGAACTGGCACATTTATCAACATTTATGGACATTGGTCATCTGCCCCCCCAATGGACCAATACCAGTGTGTTTTCTATAATTGCCTGAACAATTGTTTGAACTTTTTGATTCTCTGATCTGTGATGGTGAATTCAACAGTTGTGTAGTCCTTCCAGATATTTACTGTTGTGATTTAGGACTACACAAGAATACATTGAATTGATGTTAATTTATATACATTGGACATTTTGCCCCCTATGGACCAATTTTGTTACAATTTTACATTCTGTATTCAAACTGTTTGATTCTCTGATCGTTGAGGAATTGACAACTTTGTAAAGTTCTCAGAGACAACGACTGTTGTGATTTAGGGCTATACAAAAATAGATTAAATTGCACTTAATTTTATTTTAACATGCAGTGTTTGTTATACAGAAGTACACCTATGTGGGATTTGACTAAAACAACCTCCCAGCAGTGAATCCGCAGCCTCCGGGGCAAAAAAAGCACCTCCACATCCAGTCTGAGGTCGGGCAAAAATCTAATGTAATGCAATTAAACACAATACAAAAGCTCAGTTCAATAAAACTTGAAATTGAGCCTGTGTTAGTTAGAGCTATTTTGATATTGGACAGAGGGAGGTGGCTGATGTGATCCTACCCACCTAACTGGGACCTCATCTGTGAACCTGAGCACACGCTGCGTGAGGATGCTACGAGGCCCGGCCACTTCCTGTTTCTGAGGCGACGGACCCTTTGAGCATGCAGGGAGGGTGGAGCTACAGGAGGAAGCCCCGCCCCCACAACAGAAAACAGCAGCAGGCAAAGAAAACAGACACAAAATCAAACAGGCACCACTGCAAAGTATGAGAATGTTGAAATGACTTGTTAAAATTAGTAGCCCGTTTCAATCCATATTAACAAATCAGAATTCAGTCAAAAAATTATTGAATTGGATTGCCTTGTACATAAATTGTACAACGCAAATAAATGATTGATTGAAACGAGACATAGACTTTAAAGTTCAATACTCCAGCTTCAAAATGGGCCCCTAAATGCACTTAAAGTCTATATTGTAATATCAGAGAGTCAATGTCGTCACACACATTTTGAATTCAAGTCATTTTAACGAAAGATCTCTCATTTATTCTCAGTTAAACAAAACAAAACAAAGCGATGGGAAGCCACATATACTCATGCATTTAACTGTTACTTACATTAACATGAAATAACTAGAGCACACAAATGGATCCGCCCTCTGAAGACCCGTTCATTATGTAATCTTATATTGACCGCTGTGGCTCTCACTGTATAATGCTTATTACGCAACTCTATCTAATACCAGACATGCATAAATACATTTTATCACTTTGCATGCAATGTTTGTCCACAACAACACATTAGCCAAAGAGAGCGAGACAATTACTTCTCCTGAATCTCGTTGGCACGTTACTCTCCCTGGAAAAGTCTGGCCTTCCATGAAATTGTCTATTGTCGTTATGTTAAAGGATCATTGGGTATTAAAGTGGTGGGAATGATCTGGCTGTATGGAAAAACACGCAATTAAAAAGGTCCATTTGGAAAAACACAGGCTGTAAGTATTTCCTGTCATTTTTACAACATATTTTATTGTTTTTTTTATTATTGTTTTTTTGCAGATCTTTTGTATGTGTTTTACAGTGTTTTTACAGTGTGTTTTTACATATTTACTATAGAAATAAATGTTTTTGATTGATTTTTTGAGATAAAAGGAATAGGCTTGAACTCATAAACAGCCAAGCATGAGCTAGATCTATGCTGAATTTAAAGCTGGGGTACCAAACTTCATACCGCAACAATGGAACTATGGAATAAAATCCATCTAACTCATGTGTCTCCAACCTGTGGCTTGCGAGCTACCAGTAGCTCACCACCCCCTTTCAGGTAGCTCCCCAAAGGATAAAAAATGTAACACATGAACCTGAATGCATCACTTTTGTCTGTTTTAACTATACATCTTTTCATGATAACAATACGGTACTGTAGTTTTTTATTATATAGACTATTTTATTATCACAGGTAAAGGGAGTAGCTCTCTGCCATTTCTGTTTTATATAAGGAGCTCTCCAAATCAAAAAAGGTTGGAGACTCCCAATCTAACTCGTTCTTCTCTCTAAAAACTTCTCTCAGTTTTGTTCACATGCATGTATTCTTTGGCCTCTGTCACATCTTTTGATCTGCTTTTTCAGACAGAAAAGTGAAAAAGAAAAAGAAAAGTGAAAATTGAATAGTTTGTTCCACCCTCACTCAGCCAATCAGCTCTACGCCCAAAACCGTCAAATAGCGACTCGCTTACAAGTATGGCGAAGATTACATGTTTTTTATGATAAGATTAATATGTATAATTTTACTTTGTCTGTTGGAGCAATAACAACATTATTAATGGAACAAAAAAAGTTAGGTATCTCAGCTTTAAGTAGAAACATGTAAGATTTTTGTATCAAGCTATCATTAAATGGCCCTAATGTGTCAAAAGGCATTAGCAAACCATGCTCTTTGCGAATATTTCATTAACTGATAATATTAGTTCAATTGGCATAATTGGATTTCAAGATTAGTTTTACAGCGCCTGAATCTTGTTATGGTTTTCCTTTCAATGTCCCGCCCTCCACCTTTTTACCAATCAGAAAGTCTGTGATCCGGGTTGCCAGAACTTCTCTATTCATATATTATGTTCCCGGCTGGCTTTGTCTGCATATCTGGCAACCTGAGTCAGGGAGAGTGGGAGAGGTTGCAGTACCACTTTTGGCCAGATATTTTACATACTGCTCCTTTAAGTATCTGTAACAGGGTCTTAAAATAAATATACCATAATTTACCAATATACCAATGTCATACTGTGGACTTTTCAGAGACAAATCTATAAATAAGGCCACTAAAGGGAAAGTGACACAGCACCCTGCGGAATGTAAGATTGCACTGCAAAAAAGTAATGTAAAATAGTCAAAATTGCTCAAATTTGGCAAAATGTATCTAAATTTGAAGACATTTTGACTGCCTTAAAACATTTTACCAATGGGATGAGGAAAATTAACTTGTTTTAAAAATATGCAAGAAATGTCTCCCTTGGAATAAGACTAAATGGCTTTGTCCAATTGGGGAATTTTGTCAGAATGTACTCAAATTAAGATAATTTGAGTACGGCGCATGGCGCCGGAAAAATGGCGCCGTGGCAAGAGCTCTGGTGTGTGTCGTCCTGGCGCACACCGGGGTAGTCTTGCACAGTTTTTCCAATGTGGTTTTACTGCAAATGGCAAATAAATGAATCTGAATCTGAATCTGAATCTAAAAACCACTCAATTCAAGCAATTATTACTTCATATTTGATCATTTTTTGCAGTGTGGCATGAAAACCACCCAGAAAAAAGCTGAACAATACAAGATTTCACTCGGCAAAAAGGAGGAAAAGCTGCACATCCATCTCGAAACAAAATGATTTCATGAAGAAGCCACTTTTACAGTCACCGTGAGCACACACTCCATATACACACACACACTTTGACGCCGAGTCAAAACAACACAGACACCGTACAGTAAAGCAGGATTATGGGTAAGTTATGGGGCAAAAGTGTATCTTTTTGCGCCATGCACTTACCTGTAAATATCTTTATGGATACCGTTTACTAAGAGGGGCATTTTAGGGGGGAGTGTGTTGCAGTGTTTAGCTAAGCCCCTAAGAGCAGATTGAGCATGCAAAACAAAAAAAGAGGAAGAAAAAAAGTGGGAAAGACACAGCTCCAGTGAGAGGACAGTTTACACACAGGGAAATAACAGTGAAAGACAACAGTAAACCTCTGGCCCCTGTGTGTCCGCTTCTGATATAGAGATGTATCATATTTATTTTGGTAGCACCTTTATCTATTTCATTTTATAAGCAATTTTCCTGATATCTATCTTTTTATCCTTCTAGACTGACACTTGAAAGTAGACTCAATAGCCACATCTGCCCTAGGACTGAACAGGTAACAGTCGAATGATCAAATTCTACAAACGTCAACATTGTTAGTTAGTTATAGCTATAGATAGATAGTATTTATTTCAAAATTAGTTAGTTAGTTAGTTAGACATGTTTGGATGTGTTTAGGTTGATGGACACCTGAATTTCTCCTGCAGGGGTCTATCTACCTATCTATCTATCTATCAATCTATCTATCTGACTATTTATCTATCTATATGTATCTAATGATCAAGAGGCCATTTGTATGAACAGGTTTTTTAACAGTGTGAAATTAAATCTTTCTGTGTTCTGTATAATCAATTGTTTTCGTTTTTGTTTGTGTCTGACCCCATCTATACACTTTGCAAAGCTTTATACGTAGTCCATTTTTTTCACAGTGATGTTGTGATAAATACATTGAATTGAATTGGATATGAATATATATAAATACATACAGTAAACACACATTTTCTCTAATTAAGGTTTTATTTTATTCTTAAATAATCCTGATTTTATATATTTAACTTTGGCTTTGATTCTGATGTAATTCACCCATAGTCCAGTCTTTGTCTTATGGGAAAATAAACAGAATTGTGTTAAAAGTTGTGGTGTTTTCAGCCCTGGGACAGTCACCCGACAGCAAAAAAGTTGCCCGATTCAGATCATAGGTGAACTTGCAGTAACAAAAACCAAAATAAACCCAGTGGATGAATGAACACACAGTCGACACATGCAAGATCATCACTGACACAATATTAATCGTAGGTGGTTAGAGTGACATCGGTAACTGGGAGATGATCACACAATGGCATGGCGTGTTAAAAATGCTCTTTCTTTTTTTGTTTGTTGCACGTTTTTATTTACCTGTTTGTGTGCAGGCACTCGGCACTCCCGCCCCGGATTGACCTGTTCACCTCCAGGACCTCACTGTTGCCATGACGATGGGTGAACGGATGAAAAACAACACAAATAATAAGAGGATGGCGACTTAGACCCACGTGACTTCATGAATGACGGAAACCAGGAAATCATAGCTCCTGAACTCCACGGCAATAGGCTCACACATGTTAGTCGTATTAGTAGGAGATGTTAATAAAGTTTGCCAATAAATAACACATTTTGTATTTAAAAGGCTCAACACTGCGGGTCAAAAGGAAAGAAGACTTAAAAGTATGTAACATCCCCAGTCCACTTTCGTCTTGGGTCTATTTAACAGTTGAATTTCAGCCCGGAATATATTCCATGATATGGCATTAGGCCTTTCCATTTCCATTTCAAACAAGCAAAAGACTTCAGTAGGTGAAGTGAGACATGAGAAAGTCAATATTACACTGCAGAATATGATAAAAAATAGGACAGAAATGACAAAAATTTGGCTACTTGTATCTTAATTTGAGCACATTTTGACTGCCTTCAAGCAAAAATGATCTTGATTTAAAAAATATACAAGAAATGTCCATTGGAATGAGAAAATAAAACAGTTCTTGACAAAATAGCTTTGTCCCATTGGTAAATTGGGTTTTACGACAGTCAGAATATACTCAAATTAAGGGAGAAAAACACTCAATTCAATTCACATTTTATCATTATTTTGCAGTGTGTACATGTTTTATACCATGCTGAGGTACTGAGGCAAGACCTATTCAAAAATACAGAGGGATTGTCTGCCCACACCACTGAGCACACGGCCCCGAACAGGGACAGGTCTATGTTTTGTTGCAGAACAGTAGGTACGAGAGTTTGACAGAATTATTTGGACTCGCTCCTGTCGATGTTTGGTTTCAAGTCATCAGAAAAAGTGATTAGGAAGAGCACATGCTAAACAATGCTTAACTATCTGCAGCAGACTTTCTGCCGTCAGAGGCGCAAACACATAATCCCTGTATATTTTACATAGATTGGAATTACATTTGAAACATAGGTCGTTTTTAAAATGGTAAAACAGAAGCACATTAATGACTTAATATTTTATAGAATTTTGATCTGATCTCTTGATTTGATCTTTTAGTTAAAACTTAAATCAGGCACAGAAGGGACCTGCCAAGTCAGCTCTAGATCCAGAAAAAAAAAAAATCTGATGTTTGGAAATTTGAAGGCTCAATATTTTTTTCAACCCAAAAAGCACACAATGATTACAAAAATCAACTGATTTACTAATAATTCTTAAAGGAGATTTTAAATAACAGCCTTCTGTGTATGTGAGACAGTAAAACATCTTTAGGTGCAGGTTGGATATTGCTTTTCCCTCACATCGAGCTTATATGTAAGAATAACTGAAAAGCAAAGAGAGAGTTTTGCCTGTCGTGTCTCGCCTTTAGTATTTGATTGAATCCCACTTTATGCACTGATGGCTGCAGCTGTTACCTGTCCTCAGAGTACTCATAGTCGGAGTCGCCCGACCGCTGGTGCTCCAGATGAGGCTCATGGTACCGGGACGGCGAGTGGGACGGATGGCGGTTCTGGTGGATCTCGTCTAGGCTCCTGGAAAATAAATAGGAGACATATTACGAACGTATTACTTATGTAGATGGGCTTTGTAAAAAATACAGTAGGCACATAGGCTGGTGCTATGTGTACTATAGGTGCAGCTCTGACTGTCACCCCCCCAACCCAGAAATGGATTAAGGAGGAATAAAATGGATGGATGGCTTTGTAAAAAACAAAAACAAACACGGGCCAGGGTTTGGCCACCACTGGGTGTAGGTAGGTAGGTAGTTTGCAGCGATTTTGCTGATTGTAGTTTGGCAATGACGGTGAATGAGATAGTAAAGTAAACCGGTCTGGTTCAGCTCCAAATATCAAGAAATTGAAGCCGAAGCAAGAGGAACGTTTAGCAAATGTCATTGTAGGCAAAGATGTTGAGGTGCTACTCCCCACGGGCTCCGTTCGTGGCAAAGGAGATGGCTAAAGCTAGGCTAAATGCTAAAGGCCTCACTCACGGTAAACTCAGATCCAATCATTTCAATCTGCAAAAGGAGTTAACCCCTCCCATCTGTTAACGGAGCTCAATGGAGCAAATCCAGACCTGAGTACAAAATTAAATTAGTGCAATGGCATGGTAAGGCCAGACTCGACTTACAGCTGACCCTATTGTATCCTTAGTTCTCACCCCTCAGGAACTAATTAAATATTTGTAAATCCAGTTTTCCATCTGTTTTGATCCCATTTCCATCGTCCCACACCTCCACTATGTTGCTACGACTACAATTGCATTACATCCATTAATCAATAACAACAACAACAACTTGATTCGTTTGGAACTATCAAGGATTCTTTTTAATCCTCTCCGTCCTGACCCGACCCTCCAGTCTTCAAACATGTGCATTCGTTATTATGGCGTATAAGATCAATGCTGCTTTTCACATTTGTTATGGTCCATCTGTCAGCGGAGTCATTAACACTATTGCTAAACGAGCTATAACCCTCTTTCACTGTGTAATGATTTAGCCATAAAAAGATTAAATGATTTACAGTAATAAACGACACCAATTAGTTTACGCAGGCTGCTCCAGAGATGTTTACACTGTGCACAGTCGGAAGAAGGCATAGAGCTAAATACTAATAACAGTATAGTGGGAGGAAAACTGCGGACTTCAGACACAACACGGACGGTTGTGTTCTACAGAAGTTCTCTGACGACTCTGCCATCATCGGACTCAGCTCCGAGGACGATGACACAGAGTACAGAGGAGTTATACAGGACTTTGTGGACTGGTGTCAGCGGAACCACCTCCTCATCAACGCGGGGAAGACCAAGGAGATGGTGGTGGATTTCCGCAGACGTCACTCTGCCGCTCCAGCTCCAGTGAACATCCAGGGAAAGGACATTGAGAGAGTGGACTCTTACAAGTACCTGGGTGTTCATCTGAACCACAAACTGGACTGGACTCATAACACAGACGCCCTCTTCAAGAAGGGCCAGAGTCGCCTCTACCTACTGAGGAGGCTCAGGTCTTTTGGAGTGCAGGGGCCACTCCTGAAGACCTTCTATGACTCTGTGGTGGCATCAGCCATCTTGTACGGTGTGGTCTGCTGGAGCAGCAGCATCACAGAGAGGGACAGGAAGAAGCTGGACAAGGTCATCAGGAAGTCCAGCTCAGTCCTAGGCTGTTCCCTGGACACAGTGCAGCAGGTGGGGGACAGGAGGGTCCTGAGCAAACTAACATCTATGCTGGACCATGACTGTCGCCCCCTGCAGGACACTCTCTCTGCTCTGGAGAGCAGTTTCAGTGACAGACTAATTCACTCTCGCTGTGTGAAGGAGAGGTTCCGTAGGTCTTTCCTTCCTGCTGCTGTCAGACTGTACAATAAAAACTGCTGAGCCTGTAAATTTCATTCATCTGTAATTAAGTAAATTCTTAAATCATGTGCAATGTGCAATACTGCAACTTCAGAATGTCACAGAACAATTTCACTTTACCTTATCTACTTATTATCCTGCACTATTTAACTGTACAGTATATAACTCTGCACTACTACATATATATATTTTGACTGGTATCGAAGCATTTTCAGCATCTACAGCTAGTTATGTTAGTTAAGAAACATAGCTACTACTTATTTGTATATATTGTGTGTGATCCCTGTGTGCTCTTACTACTGTCCTATATCAAAATTTCCTCACTGTGGGACGAATAAAGGAATTCTTATCTTAAATATGGCATTATTATAAAGTACTGTGGTCCCTCGTTATAATGGGTCACCTTCCAAGACCTTGTTGTTTCGCAGATTTCTGATTTTGCATGTTTTTTTTTTTACAGCTAGCTTCTCATGCTCCACACATACATACATACACACACTATCTACAACACCAGATAACCGCTAGTATAATATGGCAGTAAAGTCAGAAGAAAACGTTATTCGTTCAGAGGACTTCCCCGTCTTCCTTCAGTCCTGCTTTGGCCCCTCAGCACTGTGTATCCTCTGCAGCTGTTTTTTTTTAGAGTGTATGCACAGCTTTTGACAGCTGCAGCAGCGCTCAGACTGACAATGAACAGGTTTGATTATCTCTGCTTTTTCTTTACTGCTTACTTCAGCAGTAAAGAAAAAGTGATTCAAAAAAATAATAAAAAAATTCCTCGAATTTGAATATAATGAATCTTTAATTTGAGAACATTCTGACTGCCTTCAAACAAAATTTGCCAATGGGACAAAGCAAATTTTTTTTTGAAAAAAATATAAGAAATGTCTTCCATGGAATGAGAAAAAATTAAGCAACAGTTCTTGAAATAAGACTAAATGGCTTTGTCCCGTTGGCAAATCTTGTATTAAGATAGTCAGAATGTACTCAAGTTAAGGTTAAAAAAAAATGCAATTCAAGCAATTATGACCTCATATTATAATTTTTTTGCAGTGTAGTAAGTTCAGGTGATAAGAAAAGTGTGTGGTGAGCAGTTTTACAGCCTGCTCTGTAAGTATATCTGCAACTTCAAAGATTTTTCTTATTGCTGAATATCTTTCAAAACGTAACCCCCACGACAATATTGTATACTGTAATCTCACAAAACCAATTATCCTGTTACACCAACATGCAAAATACAGGGTTAGAGAGAAAACTAGGATGTTGTTCCAGAATCCAGACATAACCAAATATGCTGTTAGCATGCTACTGTAGCTGCTGTGAGCTTTACTCTGATGACAAAAGTACTTTCAAATGTGCTGCTTTAATGTGGTCTGCTTTACCTCTGCATGGGCACGTATGCGGGCCGAGAGCGGGCCCTGCATGAGTCCTCGCGGTGCGGGGACACAGACCTGGACCGGTGCTGGACCGTCCTCTGCTGCTCCGGGACGGCCAACGTACTGCTCCGCTCCCTGTCCCTGGAGTTACGCTCTGGACCTGCACCATCCGCATAAAAAACACAGATTATAATCTCATAAATGCATCAGATATAAACAGGTGACATATCTACGACCAGGTCTAAGTGGTTAGTTCACATTCACAGAGGTGGGTAGAAGAAGCAAGATGTTTTCACCAAAAAGTAATGCAAAAGTGAAATGGAGGATGTGTCTGGATGCAACCTCTATTGTAAAGCTATTTTAGAGCCTAGTCACTGAAAAGAATGACAAATGGTTTTTAAAATGTATTATCAACACAACATTTTTGCTCATTGTTGATTATAGACGAAAGCCAACTAAGTTAAGGCCAACTAAGAATACAGAAAAAAGTATTTCTGATGTAAAAGGAATGAAAACTGTGTCTTGAAACAATCATTTTAGATGTAATTGAAATAAAATGAATTTGAGTATCGCAAATGTAACTGAGTAATTTGAGTACTACCCACCTCTGTCAGCTGTCAACACATGTGTTTCGCTTACAGATAGTGTAGAACATCTCTGGGATGTTTTACAAAGGGACTAGCTACAGGTGAGCTAGTACCACACTGTAAGCTGCAGCTACTGCTTCAGCAATGAAGATAGTGACATAGATGTGACAAATTAAATATAACATTTAATTTGATGGGATTATAATCTACGCTGGAAAATGAACATTATCAAAACTGTATAATTTTGTTCTAATTTCAGGGCGATGTATTGTTACACTGCAAAAAAGTGATGAAAAATAGTTAAAAATTGCTCCAATTTGGCAAAATGTATCTTAATTTGAGCACATTTTGATTGCCTTAAACCGAGATTTGCCAATGGGAGAAGCAGAACTATCTTATTTTAAAAAGACACAAGAAATGAGCAAAAAAAATAGCTTTGTCCTATTGGCAAATCTCTTTTTAAGACAGAATGTACTCAAATCAAGATGAAAACAAATATGATTCAAGCAATTATTTGAACATATTTCATAATTATTTTGCAGTGTATATAACATATTTGGAGAATAAATATGTAAAGATAAGCCTTCAGAGACTTCTTATTCTAGATTCATTATATTTTCTTTGTCTGACCTCTCTACTACATGTACAGTATTCTGTTCTAATGTAAGTAATATCGCCCGGTTCCATGACTTTCTAAGGAATGCACAATGGACTATTGTAAATCAGCATCTGGACTGGAGCTCCTCTGTAGCATGCAGAGAGTGTGTGTGCAGAGAGTGTGTATGCAGAAAGTGTGTGTGCAGAGAGTGTGTGTGCAAAGAGTGTGTGTGCAGAGAGTGTGTGCATAGAGTGTGTGTGCAAAGAGTGCGTGTGCAGAGAGTGTGTGTGCAGAGAGTGCACTTGTTTTCAACTCCTGGTGGGTTCCATAACCTGAGATTCCACTCACGTCATGGGGACTGGTTTTACGTGGTGGGGCCCGAACACCGGACCCCACTGGTCCAAGCTTAATAATCAATGGGTATTGCTTTTCTAACGGTCCTTATGCAGTCTCTGTAAAAATATGGAAAGGACCCCTGGAGGTTTACTTTCCTGAAAAAAGTGTGTTATGTGTCGGAACCCTGGTGGTGGATTGCGGGATATCAAGGAGGGGCACACTGGGGCAATTTCAGTCCAGCAGGCTGGAGCCAATCATGGAGCAGCACAACAGAGGAAATCAGGTGTCAGGCTAGAAAAGGTGCAAGTGTGTGGTTCATTAGGCTGCAGCCAATCACAGAGCAGCACACTGAAGCGCACGCTTACAAACCACTGGTAAGTGCTGACTACAAGTCATGACTTCAAATTGTTATATAGAATTATTACAAATTATTTGTTGTTTGTGCAGCTTAGTCAAGAGTCCCTAATTGATGAAGTTGACTCAGATTCTGACGATTTAACTGTCAAGAAGAAACCTGTAAAAAAGTATGGAAAAAGAAAAATCAAAAACACTTTTCTTCAAGACTCGGAAAGTGACGAACCAAAGGCAAATAAGATTGTTATCATGCAGCTGCAAAAGAAGAAAAATGGGGGGAGAGTTTACAGCAAGAGACACTTCTGCCTCTACTGTTCAATGTCCTGCCACAAAATGTCCCGTCATTTGACTAGAAAACATGTAAATGAAAGTGACGTAGCCAGAGCATTGGCTCTACCTGTGAAATCTAAAGCACGTAAACTTCAGTTTGATTTGATCAGGAATAGTGGAAACCGTGAGCACAATTTTGAGGTTTTAAAGGCCGGCATTGAAACTTTAGTCCCAGCTAAACAGCCAAATTCCCCAGTTAAATCCAGTGAGTTTTTGCACTGTATAGACTGTGGGGCATTGCTTAAGCGAAAGTCGCTGTGGAGGCATGTGGCCAGGTGCCGGCTTTCACAGAAAGATGCCCAGGCTAAACCAGGTAGAAGTAGGGTCCAGTGCCTCTGCTCCCTAGCCCAGCCTGTACCGGAGGGCATCAGCAAAAAGCTGTGGTCTTTAATTTTGGCAATGCATCAGGATGAGGTCACGGGTGTTGTCAAAGCAGAAAAGGGGATTCTGAGACTCGGAGAGCACCTGTACTTAAAACACGGGCATGATAAGACTAAGCATGATTACATTAGGCAGAAAATGAGAGAAGTCGGTAGGTTAATTAACGAAGCAAAAACGGCAGGGAAACTGAAAACAATTAAGGATTTCTTTATTCCTTCCAACTTTAACCATGTGATTGATGCAGTCAGGTCTGTGGCTGGATATGATGAGGAAACAAATCAATACAAGACTCCATCCTTGGCCCTCAAACTCGGCCATAGCCTCAGAAAGCTAGCAGATATTCTTGAATGTGACTCAAAAATGGAGCATTGTGTTGATGAACTATTTATTAAAAACCTCCAACGAAGCCGGCTGCTTTTCGAGAAGAGGTGGGATGTCTGTGTTTCTTCTGCTGCCCTACAGACCCTCCGGCAAGCCAAGTGGAACACTCCGGACCTGCTCCCTCTGACTGAGGACGTTAGAGCCATGCATGCACATATTGAGGTATGTCGACCTGAATATGTGCAAACCCTAATAAGTGAGCCAACGTCTAAGCATTGGTCTAAACTGGCAGTTTTGACTCTTTGTGAGGTCATTATTTTCAATCGAAGAAGGGAAGGTGAGGTTTCAAAGATGCCACTGACAGCGTTTACCTTAAGAAGTAAGACTGGGATCCATTCTGACATTGCTGTCCGAACTTGAGAAAAAGCTGTGTCAGCATTTTCAACGCATTGAAATTAAAGGGAAAAGAAGTCGGAAAGTGCCGGTTCTTTTGACTCCTGAAATGATTGCTTTGATGGAGGTGCTGGTGGAGAACAGAAGGGCCTGTTCCATCTCTGACCATAACCCATACTTCTTCTCCCGCCCGGGCGCAGACACCCACATCAGGGGATCAGACTCCCTACGGCAGGTAGCCAAAGAATGTGGTGCGGTGCATCCAGAGATGCTATCCTCAACCAAACTTAGAAAGCACATAGCTACTATGTCTACAGTTCTCAATATGAAAGAGAATGAGATGGACATACTAGCCAACTTCCTCAGCCATGACATTCGCATCCACAGACAATATTACAGACTACCAGAGGGGACACTGGAGCTGGCCAAAATCAGTAAAGTGTTAATGGCCATGGAGCAGGGAAGAGTGACGGAATTCAAAGGAAAGAGCCTCGACCAGATACAAATTGAGCCTGAAGGTAATTCTTGATATTATTAAAATATGTATAATTTTTTTCCCCTAAAGGCCACTTGTATTTTTATTTTCTGTGCGACAGGAAGAGCAGTAGAGATGCTCTCACAAACGGACGGGCTAAAAGAAACTTCAAGCGGAGAACCTTCAACCATTCATCCAGATGCACCCCATGGTAGTGGCAGTGCCCCTTCTGGTAAGTGTACCAGGTGGGGGATTACAGCCAGGCTGCTTGGTCCTAACCCTGGGAGTGTATATTGCTAATATATTTTTATTTCTCTCCCTAGAACGTGTAAGAAAGCCATGGTCTGCATCTGAGGTGAAGGCTGTGGAGAAGACCATGACGCCTTTCATACAGACTGGAAAAGTCCCTGGGAAGTCTCACTGCCTGGCCTGGCCTGGCCTGGCCTGCATTAATGCCTCACCAGATGACCTTAGACATCGGACATGGAGTGGCATTAAATTCTATGTCAAAAATAGAATCACTGCAATTCGGAAAAAAAATCAAAAATAAAATTCCTTTAAAAGAGTTGTTTGTTTTCTATTGACTGTTTTGTATTACTTAAAGTAGTCCCAGTAAAAAAGATTATGTCTATGGGTCCCATTCTGAACGGCCCTGTCAAAGGGACCCACCAGGTAACAAAAACGTGTATGTGTGTGTGTGCAGAGAGTGTGTGTGCAGAGAGTGTGTATGCAGCGGCGGTGAGTGACTACAAATCTAACATGCGCCGAGTGCTCGAGTGTCACAGAAGCCCAGCAGAAGAGGAGAAACCGCACTTTTTCACCAAATCATTTTTCCACATCTGCAGCCCAGTGGCACAGTGATGAATTACACAAGTCTGTGGAGTGTGCCTTCTGCCCATTCAGCAAGCTTTAATTATATTCTTTTATATGCAGCAGGTTCTGAAACCGTGACTCTCAAACTTTTCAACCAAGCTACTGAACACACTGCAAAAAATAAGTCTAAATTATAATTATGTCCATCTTGATATTCGTAAAACAAGAGTTAACAATGGGACATAAAACAACTTGCTTTTTTGTGATGCAAAATGTCAATTGGAATGAGACGAGAAATGCTACTGCGTCCGCGATAAGAAATCCCAGCTTGTCCCACTGAAACATCTTGTATTAAGATCAAGATAACAACTACTCCATTCAAGCATTTACTGCATTGGATTTCATATTTTTTGCAGTGTGATGTCCTCTTTCAAAGGTACGACTAAAGCCGTTAGTTAAAATGGATCAGCAAGATAACTCCAGGACATTTAAGGATATTTATGGGCATTGGTTATTCATTCATTTGCCTGCATATAGCTTGGATCAAGATACAAGTCAGATGTTTAGAAAAGTGACCCCGAAATTGACTATATGCGAGTAATGTATGCTTAATGTAATCTTTTTCTTTGCATTATAATTCTTGTCTTGCTATTTTTTTTTATTCTGAAGTTTTGAACAGCCAAACTCTAAAGGCTAAAAAAAAAAAAAAAAAAAAATGGTATGAGAGCCACTGTTTCCCAACTCTCTGCTGCTGAATTATGATGATCGTGTCCTCGCCCAGTGCTGGACGCCTACAGGCTACTACAGCAGGTGGTCCGCGGCCATGCCCCCCACCCACCTTTAGGCACAACCAAACCATCATCAAACTCTGTGTCAATGATGCGATGGGACCCTGTACACGACACATAAGAGAAGAGCTGAGACAGTTCAGTAACACACAACTCGGGGCTACGCCGGAACGACACCCACTGGAAACATGAAACCATTATGTGTAGTATTATCTAAGTATTATTGTATCCTAACAGTCTCTTCTACACATCTACAGAAAAGCTAAAGCTAAATTAGAAACTAAAGAAGAGAAATGCCAAGGCATGTTGTGTATACGTCATTATTTTGGGAGGTAAATTGTATTTCTTTGCCTGGAATGTTCTACAGTAGGATACAAAGCAAGCTCTGTGTATGTTCATAGAGAGCAGCGGGAGTGGATGGTTGTCCAATCGGGGCTATAATGAAAACGGGTTGCCATGTTTTCAATCTAGCTTTATAACAGTAGTTCTGACTGTTGGAAAGAAATACGAAGTAGAACCATATCTCGACCATGTTTGGTGATTTTTTTTGTACCAGGTCTGTTGAGCCAATCCATATTATATGCTATGTCTATGAACAGTTGAATCATCCAGGCCTATATCTTATCCACATTATTAGATGGATAGATAAATAGATAGATACTTTATTGATCCCATTAGAGAAATATGTTTGAAGGAATTAATTTCATTCAATGCCAACTAATTTTAGACCAGTATGTAACATTTCAGGCAAAGGTTTATATTTAATTGAAGCCAAACAGGAAGAGGACTGTCATCCACAATAGTTACATGGAGCATAGGTTGGACCTCATAAAGCTATTAGTTTTAAAGTATATAGGGCGATTTTCCTGAATCCCAAATTAGGAAATTGCAGTTGTGCCGCTAAAGTAAGGTAAGTGCAGCTTTAAGTATCAGCCATTTATCGGAATAGGGTTCGCAGAGGTGTCCAAACTGAGAAAGGGCCGCTGTGGCTGCAGGTTTTCAGACCCAGCAGGAGCAGAGCAGACTCCGCCCATTTCCTCAAGTGAGTTCAGTCTTAACCTGAAGATTTGATTAAATGGGTGGAGTCTGCTCTGTTCCTGCTGGGTCTGATAGAAAACCTGCAGCCACAGGGGCCCTTTCTGAACCGGTTTGGACACCTCTCGTTAGAGGAAGCGCTAATATACTGTCTAATCCTGATTAATTATCTGCTATACATATTCTGCCTTAGCTATATATGAAAACATATTCAACCAGTAGTTAGATGACAGGAAATATAGATTATATGCAGCTCTACACTTCACATTCTTATGACACAAGCACAGAACAAGAAGGTAAACAACTGAAGATAAAAGACACAGCAATATAAATGGCCTTACTCTGAAGCTTCTTGCTGGGGCTGTCTCCGTGGACATGTCGCCGTGGGAGGTAAGGGGAGGGCTGAGGCAGTGGGATCGAAGACGCATCGTGTGTTTGCAGCTTGTACCAGTGCGACGTGTCGTCCAGCAGCGCCGTCTCCAACTCGATCAGGATCTGAGGAGAAGCGGTCATCAATACTGCACAGTCCATGGCGTAATGCTCAAACATAAAAGGTATATCCACTATGCTGTGTGTTTGAATCGATTTCTAACCATCTGCTCAACAGAATGGAAACCCAGGCTATAATTTTTGCATGCGTTTGGGAAGGGACGGTAAGACGGCGATGACGCACTACAGACAGAAGATAGAAGTTTGTTTACAGATCCAGCAGATGGCAGCAGAGAAAAGCTCCCCTCCCTCATAAACAGAGTGATTTTTTTTCCCCCTTCTCCCGGTCAACAAACGTCCTCGAGGCAAAACGATTGGCTGAGCTACAGACCTGAACTTTTCCCAGACTACATATTCACTTCATATTTTGTATATACATTAGTTTAAGGTATAAACTAATGTATATACACACTTTTTCTGTTGTGGCACTATGAATGAATGTATTTCTTTTCTGACTGTACAACAACCAAAAAGAAGGATTGGGCTAAAGCAACTTGCTAATGTAAGGCCATCCTGACATCACGTCACATAGAGCTACTTAAACATAACAACTATTCATTCATTCATTCATTTTCTACCCCTTTACTAGTCCATTTCTGGGTCAGGGGGTGACACTCAGAGCTGCCACACAATGCTCTTAGCAGTAGTAGTAATAGTATTTATAACAGAAATCAAGTTTTAGGCAATATCCTAACCCCAATATCCTAACCTAATGATGACGGCTGGGACTACAGACTAAATTAGGGCTTTGGGAAAAGGATATAGACATTTGGACACGGCCACAGATGCAAAAGCTCTCACTCATAACCACTGATGTCTGTTGAATGTTGATTTTTCACTTTTCATGAGTAGACGCTAAAAAAAGCAGCGTGGCCTTCTGTAGGTGAATCTGACCTCTCCCAGGAACTCGCTCTCCTCCTCCTGCACTCGGGGCTGGTCCCAGACTGTGATCTCCAACATGCGCTCCCTGAAGTCTCGCCGGTGCACGTGTGAGTAGATAAACGTCTGGTTCCACTTCGGCTCGGCGCTCTTCTTCACCGTTTTGGTTCTTCTTTTACTTTTATCACTGGGGGGAAAAAAACACATTAAAACTTTTTACTTGTTTTCATTTTTTCATTTCAAATTTTGTAATACTTGTCAACCAAATGTGTCCACTGTCACTTTAGTTATCTGTGCAATTTTATTTGAATAATGTCAGAATAATGCACCGGTTTTATAAAGCACTTTTCAGGACATTCAAAGGCGCTTCACTTGTCATTACTCATTCACTCAATACACAGTGGTTATAAACTGCCACTATAGCCACAACTGCCCTGTGGCACATCGGCAGAAGAGAGGCAACCAGTATGTGCCATCAGCCCCTCTTACCACTACCAACCGTTCACATACACACCAGACTCATTCAAAGAAATGTGGGTGAAGTGTCTTGCCTAAGGTCACAACAACAGTTTGGAACTTTACAGCCACAGCCGCCCCACTGTGGCACCTGGTGTCCCCAGAGGTCTCCCATCACAGTACTAACCAGGCCCTGCCCTGCATAGCTTCCGAGGTCTGACTAGATCTGGCTTTCGCATGCAAGTATGGCCATTTATGTTTTCCCATACCTTCTATCAGGCAGGAAGTACATTTTGACGTAGGGGTTTCGCGGCCGCCCGTCGGGTCGAGGAGGCAGGTCTATGGCTTGGAGGACATTGACTATCAACTGGTGGCCAACTTTGTCATACCACAACTTTACCTGCAGGGAAAAGATGCAAAGTTAAGAGAATAGTTTAGAGATTTGACACTAATATTTTATGTTTTTTCCTTCTTACAGAAAGTTGCCCTGGTAGGACTACAGGGAGGTCTCGCAGGGTGCCAGGACTGGTGGGGGACATTACTGAGATCGAAGGACGGTCCATCTTTGGGGACTCAAAAGAACTTGAGCCAGCTGAGGGGAAAAAGAAGAATAAATTCCACATCCATCAATCAGCCCAGTAGGTAAGTAAGAAATCTTTATTTATATAGCGCATTTCACTGACCAAGGTCACACAAAGCACTTTACAATTTTGGAGTAAGAATATTTTTTACATTTTCTCCGCACAAGTTAGAATAAATGTAAAACTGCATTGTGTTTCTGTTGTTGGAGTGATGTCTAGAACGAGTTCAAACAAGATTTAAAAAAACTTGCTGAAGAAAAATATTATTCAAACGTATTTTGGTTGTTAATGCTGAGCAGGAAAAAAATCATAATTAGGGATTCAATGTCTTATTTTTTTATTTATGTGTAGCAGCTTTTTCAGACCTTATTTCGACTTCTTTTTTTACCCCAACTGCCTGAAAGTGTTTTGAAATTTAAAGTGAAACGGAAACAAGTTATGACAGATCATAATCCATTCACTCTCTTAATACATTGTGCATGACTTAAGTGGTAGGGGAAACCGGAGCACCTGGAGGAAACCTACACAGACATATTGAGAACAAGCCATCTCCACACAGAAAGGCCTGGAGGTGGAATTGTGAACCCATTACCTTCTTGCTGTGAATCGAACTAGCTCTAACCAGCGCTAACCTACTATTGTCTGGTATAGAAGAACCAAATACATTTAAGTTCGAACCACCGTGCCACCGTTTCGCCCAGTCAGATTCATCTATTTATTAGAAAACACAACTAATACGGAACTATAAATCCAGGGTTCCAAATGGGTTTAGTCAGATTGTGAATTGATAGACGAGTAAACACAAAAAAAAACAAGAGTATTTGCACTTTGTGACAACATAAAAACTCAGTAAAAGTCTGTCACTTACTAGATTCTAGCGGTGGGTGAGATGACTCTGGGATTCGAGGGATGTCCCTGTAAAACAACAAATACATATTAAGTGCTTTTCTGAAACAAATATATTGGATACATCATGGATTATTTGGACCAGGACATAGGACAGGACCAGGACAATAGTTTTTACAATCAGGAAAACCAGTTAATGCACATGAATCCATCTGACGAGTATTGAATATAGGAAAGATTTCAGGAAAGGGTCTCCACAAACCAAACAAACACTACTTACTGAGCGATTCTATACACTTGTCTTAAGACGTTTTTGGACATAACTCGGTTGATAGATCTTTTATAAATGAAAAGAAGTAAGAGAAGCAATAGTTAAATAAAAAATTAAAAAATTAAGTAAACAGGTTTTTTCTTCATAGCTGCAGCTAGCGTCTTACCCTATAGGCCGCGATACAACAATCTCCACTTGAGGTTCGGCCTTGGACTCCAGGATAATGTTGTAAACCTCTTTCTTGGTTGCTCCGGGCAACGACTTCCCATTCCACTGGAGCACCTCGTCCCCTGCGGACACAAGCATATACAGTATCAATCAATCAATCAATCAAATTTTATTTATAAAGCGCTTTTCATACATAAGATGCAACACAAAGTGCTTTACAGATTGGTTAAAAACAATCCCGCCGACCCAAGACCCCTCCCCCAGACCACCCAACAGACCCCCCCCAAACCACAGACAAACACACACACACGCGCTCATGAACACTCATACACACACACACACACACACACACACACACACACACACCAGTAAAACAATAAAAACATGATGAGAGACTTGGCAGGGTTCAGATGCAACCAGCTGAAAAAGCGTCATCCAAGGAGCCGTCTGCACCAGGAGCAGAGAGCCGCCCGTAGCCACAGGGGACGATACAGGACCCAGAGGAGACATAAAACCGAGGCCCCAGGCCCCCACCAGGCCCAAGAGTCCGACCCCCGCAGCCACACCGACCACTGCTCCCGGTGCAGAGGGCTCCTCCAGAGGAAACACTGGGTACACTAAAAACAATACAATAAGTAAAACACTAAAATGTGAGACTAAAAGGAACACACAATACATGAATAATAGCAATAGCAATATAATAAATAATAAATAATAAAAGATAAATAGAATGGAATAATAAAAACTAATCAAAAGCTACTCTAAAAAGGTGCGTCTTGAGCCTACTTTTAAAAATATGAACGTTCTCTGCGGCCCTGAGCTCCTCCGGCAGACTGTTCCAGAGACGGGGGCCGTAGTGCTGGAAAGATGCCTCGCCGTGAGTGTGTGTCCTGACTTTGGGGATGGTTAGGAGTCTGCTGCCGGAGGAGCGCAGGGGCCGGGAAGGTTCATAGGATAAAAGCAAATCTGAAAGATAAGAAGGCCCAAGACCATTAAGACATTTAAAAACCATTAAAAGAACCTTAAAATCGATTCTGAAACACACGGGGAGCCAATGCAGCGATTTTAAAACCAGTGTAATGTGGTCCCGCCCCCTGGTCTTAGTCAGGACACGTGCGGCCGAGTTTTGGAGTAATTGAAGACTTGCAATGTTCTTTTTGGGAAGACCAGAGAGCAGGGCATTACAATAGTCAATGCGACTGGTGATAAAAGCATGCATCAGCGTCTCCGTGTTGCCCCGAGAGAGAATGGGGCGGACTCTGGCGATGTTCTTTAGATGATAAAAACCTATTTTTGTGATACTCTTGATGTGAGGAATAAAAGTCAGCTCAGAGTCAAAGATTACGCCCAGATTTTTCACTTGTGATGATGGATTAAAAGGGTGTGATTGGAGTTTTGATAAAAGTTTCTCTCTCTGGGCCTCAGGACCGATGACTAAAACCTCAGTTTTGTCCTGGTTAAGCTGGAGAAAGTTTTCTGCCATCCAGGATTTCAGGTCTAAAATGCAGTTAAAAAGAGCATCCATTGGCCTGGTGTCATCAGGAGACATGGAGATGTACAGCTGAGTATCATCTGCATAACTGTGGAAGTCAATTCCATGTCTCCTGACGACACCGCCAAGAGGGAGCATGTACAGGTTAAAAAGGACTGGACCTAAAATGGAACCCTGGGGCACACCACATGTGATTTTATGGACCTGAGAGGAGCAGGTATCCAAACTTACCATGAAGGATCTGTCTGTTAAATAAGAAGTGAACCATTTGTGGACAGCACCAGAGAGGCCGAGGTGTTGTAGGCGTGATAAAAGAATTGTGTGGTCTACTGTATCAAAGGCAGCGCTAAGATCCAGTAGAACCAACACAGTCACCTTTTTGAAATCATAACTTAGTCTAAGATCGTTTAAAATCTTTAAAAGAGCAGTCTCTGTGCTGTGGTTCACCCTAAAACCTGATTGAAATTTCTCTAAAATTTGCTGCTGATCTAAAAAGGCATTGAGCTGGGTAAAAACAAGTTTTTCTAAAATTTTGCTTAAAAATGGTAAGTTGGATACCGGTCTGTAGTTGTTAAAATCATTAAAATCTAAATTGCTCTTCTTCAGAAGGGGTCTCACCACAGCCGCTTTGAAGGCTGCAGGAAAGACCCCAGTCTGAAGAGAGCAATTCATCAGGTTTAAAAGCTCCTCTCTAAAAGATTCATAAAATGACTTAAAAAATGGAGTGGGGACTGGATCTAAAAGACATGTGGTGGGCCTCACTGAGGAGAAAACTTTATCAAGCATCTCAGCATCAACCAGGACAAAACTGTCCAGTGTTTCCTCTGGCGAAGACAAACAATCAGATGTGTTAAAAACAGTAGTGCGGTTGGATAAAATGTTACATCTGATTGTATTTATCTTCCCCGTGAAGTGGACTGCAAAATCCTCACAGAGGGAGTCTGTGGGGGTTAAAAGAGACATGCTAAAATCAGGGTTTAAAATGGTGTCGATGGTTGAAAAAAGGATTTTTGGATTATTTTTGTTCTGGCTGATTAGATTTGCAAAGTATTTGTTCTTATGATTTCTAATTGTGTAATTGTATGCTTTTTGATTGTTTTTATATATTTCGTAGTTGATTGTTGTTTTATTTTTCCTCCATCTTCGTTCTGCCACCCTGCACTCTTGTTTCATTTTGCGTACTTCTTCATTTCTCCATGGGGGTGCAGATTTTGTTTTTATGATTTTTGTTTTTAAAGGAGCCACCTGATCCAACGCAGAACTAAGTCTACTGTTAAAATCATTTGCTATAAAATCACAGGGGGCAGGTAAAACCAAGTGGGGAGTGTTGTTTAGGATGTCGATAAAATTTGCAGCCACTTCAGGGGTTAGATGTCGCTTCCTCACGGTTCTCACAGAGGTCTCACGCTGTATAAAACCAGTGATGTTAAAAAACACACAGTAGTGGTCCGAGACAGCCAAGTCGACAACAGAGGACACATCCGCAGTCAGGCCATAGGTAATGACCAGGTCGAGGGTGCGTCCCCTGTTGTGTGTTGGCTGCCTGACGTGTTGGGTAAAATCCAGTAGGAGTCAAAGAAAATGGTACAATTACAAGTAAGGGGACATAACAAGAAGTACAATCAAAAAGTATGCCAGAGATTGCAAGTAAAAAGCAGACTAGATTTCCATAAACTGAAGTAAATGAGAAAATACTAAAACAATCTATACTGCATTTGTACTTGAGGAGTAACTTGTAACTTGATGCACATGTGCTGCAGACATTCAACAAACTGTTAAATACATTGAAAGAAAGAGACACTGGGTTTGGGAGATACTTTTTAACTCAGAAAGGCACTCTTGTATTATATGATGTACAATTTAAATCACGTTTCAAAGTACAGAGTATATCACAGAAACACAAACCTGGTCGCAGATGCCCCACCACATCGGCAAGACTTCCTTTTTTCACTTTGGTGATGAAGGCCCCTAGTCTCCCAGTCTCTGTCATTTTACCTCCAACCACCTATGCCACAATACAAATACATTCTTAATTATTTGTCCATAAAATTAAATTGTTAGAAATCGTTGTAAAAATCCTACTGAAATAATCATTTTCATGTTGGCATTTGTTAGAAATAACTGACAATCTCAGTACTTTCTGGTGAGGATGTTCAGTTAAAGCCTGGGTAATCTAACCTTTATACTTCATGAATAATACATATCTCACAGAAAGAGTTTTGTACATTTTATGAAAAAATCAGACCTGTATACATTTATTAGAAGACATGTTATCTTTTGCATACGAAATAAAGTACCGGCTGCTGATCAACAGGAGCAAGATGTCACGGACACCAAACAAAATATGCTCAAGAAAACGAGTGATAGAACAAACGGTTTGGAGCGCAAGGAATTAAAATTGAAATATTGCCGTATGGTACTGGTGCTATGTGTACTGGGGGGGCATCTCTGGCTACCCCTCCGACCCAGAAATGGATAAAGGGGTAGAAAATGGATGGATATTGCCGTATATTTGCACTTCATACTGTACTGCTGCTCTTGTGTTATACTATTTTCCATGTAGGGAAATCTGTCCTGCATTTGACCCAAGCTGCAACGCCTCTAGGCCTCTGTTAGGAGCAGAGTTGGAGGTTTTTACCAAGCATATGTGCTTTTTTGTGGTAGGGGAAACCAGAGCACCTGACACGGACGCAGGAAGAACATGCAAATTCCACTTAGAAAGGCCCTGTTCTGACTGAGATTCGATGCCAGGAACTCAGCCACTGCAATAGTCACCTTGATCTATAATTTGTTTAACTTAAGAACAGACTGTGTTGGGATTATACTGCTTAAGGTTACAGGTCTAATTCACCATGTAAATATCTTAAATTAAAAAAAAATATATAATTATAATAACTGTTACTCGACACTGGCTCCTCCCTGCCCCATCCAGTCTGGAAAACAAATTTATATTTTCTCAAATGAATGGTCAAAGTGGAGTTTATACATTAACAAGTGTTGAACATGGATGATGTGTGAGATAGTGTATTTTGTATATATCTTTTGTCATAACTACACTCCACTAAACTACACTAAAATGCATCCCTTGTTTGTTTGTTAAAAAAAGAAGAAAATGGATGAAACTATGAATATATCTGCAACAACTGACAACAACAAATATATTTATGATAATCCCGTTCAATACAACACACTCACTCAAATGAAAACAACAGCAACAATACAGGTAAGGTATAAGGACAAATTCAAGATTCAAAAAATGACGTGTTTGTAGCTGTAATTAGTAACAAAAATCTAAAAACCACACAAAAAAAGTTCTTACCTTGAGTCCGAGGAGAGAACCCGCCTCTCTGGGCATCGCTGACCTCTTACTCAACGTGATGCGCCCGATCAAGTGGTCTCCCTCTTTGGACGGCTGCCACGACACCGGGTGCTGCTCAGAAATAATCATTTCATGCTTAGTGCTACGCTCCAGTGACATTTGAATCATAATTTGAGCTGTCGACTTGTCAGAAGAAAACACATTAATAACAGTCTCTTATAACTGGACTAAAATGACATTATACGCTGCTATGTTTAAAATATCTATAATTAAAGCCTATGTGAAAGAAACCCTGAATGCTGAAGTGTTTTGGGGCGTTCAGACCGGATCATGCGTTGCGGCAACTTTCAATGCAAAGTCAATGGTGACGTGCGTTCCAGCGTGGAACTGCATGTGTGTCTCGGAATGCACGGACTGCACTGCAAAGGCGCGGCAGAAGCGCAGGACCGGAAAATCAATGCACGCAGGAGATAAACATTGCTGAACTTTTTCCTCGGGACGCTCGTGCAGCGACCAATCAGAGAGCCGCAAAGTGATCACGGGGACATTAGCGGTCTAGCGAGCAGACCAGGACTAAACCAGGATAGACAATGGGGGACTCAGTGCTTGTGAACATTCTTTAGTGACTGTAAACTAGTTTGTCCGATGCGGAAGTACCGTTTGACAATAAATTAAACTTCTGGCGCACCTCCGTGAACACATACTACTGTTATTTAAAGTCTCTGGAAAGTCTCTGAACACAGAAACGCTGCAGATCCACATTATTGGAGAAGAACTTTACACAAAAAGCCGCTAGATAAGAGTTCCTTTAGCTTAATTCCGTTAGCATTAAAGCTCGCCCGCTACTTCCACCACTTCCGCCACCGTGGCCAGGACTTCTAGTCTGAACTCCCCTAGCGTCTGAAATTTAGAGAATGTGCGTTTACAGCGCGCGGAAGCTGCGTTCCAGCGTCGCCGGTCTGAATGCCCCATTAGGGTTAGGGTTTATATACATGTATATATATATATATTATATATATATATATATATATATACATGTATATATATATATATATATATATATATATTAGATATTATATATTATATATATTAGATATATATATATATTTAGATATAATATATATATATATATATATCTAATATATCTAATATATATATCTATCTAATATATATATATATATATATATATAATATATATATATATATATATCTAATATATATATATCTATCTATTATATATATATATATATATATATATATATATATATATATATTATATATCTATTATCTATCTATCTATCTATCTATCTATCTATCTATCTATCTATCTATCTATCTATCTATCTATCTATCTATCTATCTATCTATCTATATATATATATATATATATATATGTGTGTAACTTTTGCTGTTGCTTGTTCATTACTCCCTTGAACAAAGGTTCTTAGTCTCAATAGGACTTTGCTGCACAGCAAAAAGTGTTGAAAAATAACTCAGAAATTGCTCAATTTAGGCAAAATGAATCTTAATTTGAGCACATTCTGACTGAAAATAATGCAACAGTTCTTGAAATAAGACTAAATGGCTTTGTCCCATTGAAAAATCTTATTTTAAGACAGTCAGAATATACTCAAACTAAGAACACTCAATTCAAGCAATTATTACCTAATATTTTATCATTTTTGTAATGTGGTTAAACAAAGGGGGGAAACAAAGAAATCCATTGACTTACATGCCATACTGTAGGATCTAGTGTATGACAGTCCCAGTCACCTGCAGGAAAGATAAGTATTGGTAATGATGCATTTTCGAACATGACGTTAATAAATTTTTACAGTTCATCATAGTTCATTCAGTATTTAGCAGGAATGCCCTGGGCGCACGCTGACAGGTGGGCCATTAGAAATGATGTGATGATAGAGCAAACAGAGTATCTCAGTGGATGTAGCTAGTCCCTCTAATCTAACATGAAAAAGTCCATAGAGGCCGCTCCACAGGGTAAATGCTGAGTCCACACTTTAAACTGCTGATTTGGGGATTTCTCTTCGGGATGAACACACTGGGAGATATTACAGGAGACTGCAAGGCCTTAACTGAGCTACATCTAAACACAAGCACCCAGAAAGTAGATCCAATCCCTCCTGACAAGAGTGTGTGACGGACTGCACTGCAGTCATCTGGGATTTCATCTACTCAACAACTCAATTAGTCTCTGCGGTGCATTCAAGAGGCCAGAGCTAAGAAATAATAACTGTAACCCTTTGTCAAGAACAAAACTGTCTACACTCGTCCCCAGTCCAACACTGACCAACACTGAACAGTCTGCAGATACAAAGGAAGAACACACGCACGACTTGATTGTATCAAATCTACGGATTGCCGTGCAGTTCTCACCGGCTCAGTTTTTCAGCCAGAGCCATGATGCGTGTTTGTAAAAGTGTTACGTAGCCACGAGCCACTGACCTAATTCCACAAATCTGCTGGCCTAAATCACTGGGACTCTCCAAATAAATGAGATCTGTCCTGAGAGTGGCACAGAGGTACATGACTGTCTGCTCTCGTCAGCGTGCGGCTGCGCACACAAGCTAATCAAGAACTAAACAAGAAGAGAACTTTTGAATCCACTGTAGTCTGTACTTCACCTCTCAGAGACAAGGGCCCGTGCCTGTGCGTGTGTGACTGACCTTTCTCGCTGACACTCTCCATGTCCACGTCCTCACAGCTGGTGTACTCGGGCGTGGAGCCGCCCTCCTCCTCTGAGCTGCTGATGGACATCTGTCTCTTGTCTCGTTTGCTCTTGTAGGTGCGTGGAGGGGGCGGCCGCAGAGACTCAGACTGGTCTGAGCTCTGTGAGTCTTTCCTCAATAGACTGTCCCCGCCCTTTTCCCTCTGTGTCCGTGCTGTGTTAGGGTCCAACCGACCTTTGTTCGGGCCGTAGTCCAGGCCTCCAGGCTGGGACCCGGCCCTGACCCCGCCCATCCCCACGGTCCTGTCCATAGGCTTACGCTCAGAGTCTCTCCTGGATAAGTCCTTTCCGTCATTAGGGCCTAGTCCCACCTCGTTAATGGCCAGATCACTGTGTCGCCGCTGATGCCGTACTTTCGAGACCTTGGCATGCATGCGCATCTCCTGCTCCTCCTTCTGTGGTTTGACCGGGTACCGGGCCAGGTTGGGGTCACTGCGGTAGCGGTTCTGAAACTCCTCCTCTCTGCGTTTGCGCTCCCTGGGGTCTTCCTCCCCAGGTCGCCTGCGTTGGCTCTCCAGACGCCCGAGTCCGTCTGTTCCGTCCTCATATTCCTGAGAGTGGATTTTCTCTAGCCGCCTCCCTTCTCCCATACGATGCTCTCGATCTCCTGGCCCTCCACGATCGTCCAGAGACGACTGAGACTGGAGCTTCCTGCGACCGCTGCTCCTGCCCAGCTCACCTTTACCATTCTGCTCATGATAGGACACTGGTCTGACCCTATAACAAAACATATACAATCAGTACCACACTGTTACAATATGGTATATTGTTTATACTGCATATATGTTGTACGCCACGAGGGGGCAGTCTCGGGAGGTTTAACCGGAGTTTGGTACCTCAATGACGTCTCACTTGAATGGGGCACTGGAATAAATGCAGACCCAGTTGGGCCAGAGCAAAGAAGCTGGACTTGTTTTATTGTTACAAACCCACACTTTAACATGGTGGCAGCGGTAATGAACTTTGCCCGGATTTTTTGAGACGTTTTTGGAAATTGCTGCGGAGTCACTAGAGAAGACGGTAAAGTACTAACCGTCGAGCATTGATTAGCATCGCAAGACAAGCTAATAGGATGGACGGACTAAAAGCTCCACAGACGTTGTGTCTGGACTCCAATAACCTGTCTAAAACATGGAAGACATGGAGGGACGAGTTTCAACTTTATGTTGATTTAACTGTTGCCGAAGATGACGAGAAAAGGCGAGTAAAGCTCTTCAGTTATCTAGTCGGAGAAAGTGGCAGGGAGCTTCTGGATACGTTAATGGGAGACACAGTGGAGGCTGACTGGATTGTGAAGGACATGATCGATAAGTTTGATCAACATTGCAGCCCAACGGTGAATGAAACTGTTGAGAGGTATAAATTCTTCACTAGAAATCAAGGCTCCAGTGAATCCATTGATGGCTATATTACGGAGCTCAAACTACTCACCAAAACGTGTAATTTTGGCACTTTGAGAGACTCCCTCATTCGGGACAGAGTCGTGTGTGGTATTAACAGCGCCAACATGCGAGAGAGACTTTTGAGGGAAAGAGCCCTGACTTTAGACAGTTGCATCCAGCTCTGCAGAGCAGCGGAGTTGTCGCGGGAAAACTGCAGAGCCATAGCGGGTCCCACCGCCGAGGAAGTCCACGTTGTGCAAGGAGCTTCGCGCCACCAGTGGAAGCCGGACAACGACAACACGGTGGAGTGCAAGTTCTGCGGCAGGACGCACGAGAGGAATAAACAGAAATGTCCAGCATTTGGCAAGAAGTGTAAAAAGTGTGGTAAAGATAACCACTTCGCAGCAATGTGTAAAGCACGCACAGACTTTAAGAAGAACAAATCTGTGCACAATGTGACAGAATGTGAAAGTGAGTATGAGGACATTCTGTGTGTTAGAGAAGTGACACCGGGTGAAAATGAGAATACGACAGACTCTGACAAAGAAAAAGACACTAAACTGTTTGCAGGTATGCTCTTAGGCAAAGATATTGTAAGATTTCAGATTGATTGTGGAGCCACATGTAATGTGTTACCTGTTAACCTGTTGAACAGTGATACAAAACTGGATGTTACGAACACTATGTTAATGATGTATAATGGTAGCAAGGTGAAGCCACTGGGTAAATGTAAAGTGAAACTGAGAAATCCCAGAAACAAAAAACTGTACCAGTTAGAGTTTCAAGTTGTAAACACAGAATGCACAGTGCCATTGATTGGTAAACGAGCTAGTGAGGCTATGAAACTAATTAAGGTGCACTATGAAAACATATTGGCTATTGACAGTATTGTGACTGCAGAGAAAAATACAAGCGAGCAATGGTCAATGGAACAGATTAAAAAGGACTTTAAAGATGTGTTCACAGGAGACGGCTGTCTCGAAGGAGAATACAAAATGGAAGTGGACACAAGTGTGAAACCAGTGCAACTTCCAAAGAGACGCGTTCCAGTGGCGATGATGAAGCCACTAAAGGAGGAGCTGCAGGATCTTGAGCGTAGAGGTATTATCACACCAGTCGACTGTAGTACCGATTGGATCAGCAGCATGGTGGTAGTACAAAAACAAAACGGGAAACCTAGAGTGTGCATTGATCCAAAACCCTTAAACAAGGCGCTCAAGCGTAGTCACTTCCCATTAGCAACAATAGAGGATGTACTCCCGGATATGTCCCAAGCTAAAGTGTTCACAGTGTGTGATGTTAAAAGTGGATTTTGGCATGTGAGGCTCGCAGAGGAGTCAAGCTATCTCACTACTTTCTCTACTCCATTTGGGCGCTACAGATGGCTCAAAATGCCCATGGGTGTAAGTGTAGCACCCGAGATTTTCCAAAGGAAACTGACCCAAGCACTGGATGGACTCCCTGGTATCTACATCGTAGCGGATGACGTGCTCATCACAGGTCAAGGTGAGAGCCAGGAGGCCGCTGTCCGAGATCACAACACTAAGTTGAGGCAGTTTTTGGAACGATGCAAAGACAAGAACATTAAGCTGAACCCTGAAAAATTTAAACTGAGACAAAAAGAGTGCACATACATAGGGCACCGTCTCACAGCAAATGGTCTAAAAGTTGACCCAGACAAGGTCCGAGCCATTGAACAAATGCCAAGGCCCACAGATGTGAAAGCAGTTCAGAGACTATTAGGAATGGTAAATTATTTAGCCAAGTTTTGCCCGCACCTCTCAGATCAGTGTGAAGTGTTAAGGCAGTTAACACACAAAGACTCAGACTGGGACTGGACAGAGCGACATGAGTGTGCTTTCGGAAAACTAAAAAAAACTATTGCCAATGCTCCTGTTCTTAAATACTACTGTCCGGAGGAGGACCTAGAAGTGCAATGTGATGCATCAGACACTGGTTTGGGGGCAGCACTCCTCCAGAAAGGCAAACCAATCGCTTTTGCTAGCAGAGCTCTCACACAGACAGAGCGTGGATATGCCCAAATTGAGAAAGAGTTTCTAGCTATGGTTTTCAGTGTAGAAAAGTTTCATCAGTACACATATGGTCGCAAAGTGACTGTACAATCGGACCACAAGCCATTAGAGTCCATAGTAAGGAAACCACTGTTAAGCGCTCCAAAAAGACTTCAAAGAATGATGCTGCGCGTTCAGAAATATGATCTCAATGTAATATATGTCCCAGGAAAAGACATGTTACTGGCAGACACATTGAGCAGAGCATATCTCCCAGAATGCTCACCTGCAGAGGCTGAAATAGAGTCTGTTAATATGGTGAATCACTTGCCCATATCCAGTGACAGCCTCAGTAAAATAAGAGCAGCGACAAAAGAAGACACAATACTACAGACGGTTATTACATTGATGCAGACAGGATGGCCTTCAGAAAAAAAAGCCACAGCACCTGAGATGAGACCCTACTTCTCATTTCAAGAAGAACTCAGTCACCAGGACGGCATTGTGTTTAAAGGAGAACGTGCGGTAATTCCTGCTTCTCTCCAGAGGGACATCACCAACCGACTGCACTCATCACATATAGGGGCAGAAGGATGTCTGCGCAGAGCTAGAGAATGCGTTTTCTGGATTGGCATGAATGATCACATAAAGACACGTGTTGCTCGTTGTGACATCTGCAGAGAAGTAGATTATAAGCAACAGAAGGAAACGCTCCACCCACATGCTATGCCAAACAGACCATGGGCAAAGGTGGGGGTTGACCTGTTCCACTTTGACAACAAAGACTATCACGTAACGGTGGACTATTATTCCAATTACTGGGAAATAGACTTTTTGCCTGACACAAAATCAACCACAGTGATAAAGAAATTAAAAGCACAATTTGCAAGACATGGAATTCCGAGCACGGTGGTCTCTGATAATGGTCCCCAGTATTCGTCCCAAGAGTTTAAGCGATTTAGCCAGTTGTGGGAATTTGAACACAAAACTTCATCTCCAGGTTACCCACAGAGTAATGGGAAAGCAGAATCAGCCGTAAAAACAGCAAAAAGACTCTTGCACAAGGCTAAAGCAGCAGGACAAGATCCTTACCTGGCTCTCCTGGATCATCGCAATACACCGTCACAAGGTCTGGACACCAGCCCAGCTCAGAGGCTGCTGAGCCGTCGGACAAGAACGCTTCTCCCAGTCAAATCCAGCCTTCTCCAACCCGAAGTGATAAAGGCAGAGCAGGCACTGGGTGAGAACCAGCGCCGTCAGTGTGCTTATTATGACCGGTCAGCCAGAGATCTGGAGTCCCTGAAGCCAGGAGACTCAGTGAGAGTACAGCCTTTTCAGCCCCACACCAAATGGAGGCCGGGAACGGTGAAGAAATCTATTGACGCCAGATCATATGAGATTGAAATGGATTCGGGTGCAGTTCTTCACTTAAAGCAATAGGAATGGGCGTGTGATATGTGTGGTTGTAAAGAGTAATGCCTGGTTCACCACGCAGGAAAATAAGGCCCGAGTTTTGGACCCAATTTACCCCTACTACAATCAGTACGAACGATCCGAATATCGTGAAACATTCGGGTGCAGTTCTATCCATCAAGTTGGATTGTTTTGGCCCGTTTCCTTCCGGTGTGTGGTGTCCCCTGAGGACAGACGACGCGTTGCCATGACAGCGGGCGTTAGCCAAATCATAAGACGAAGACGAGCCGCGAGGAAACAACAGTAAAAAAAAAAAAAAAGTTCGATGGTCACTCCAGAGATGGAAGAAATACTAGTTTACTCTCTGGCAACACCGGGTGAATTATGATGGACGTGCGTGTAAAGAATATCAACAACCAAAATGACCAAGGGAGCCGGAATTGGCAAAATTGCTGCTGCACAGTATTGTGGCTAAGCCTATTCGGACGATTAGTACACTAACGATCAGACTGATGGTTTTGTTTGTACGTTTACTTGCACTCTGTCCTAATACAGTACAGTTACTGCAGCATGCTTGTTGGGTTTGTCAATTTTAACTGAACGGTAGGCAGATGGCGCGTCCTGTGACTGGACTGTCGTTTGAGAATAGGAAATAATAAATTAAATTTAAAATGCATGGATCATATCTGTATTCAATATGATTAACAAAAGTGTGTTCACACAAAATGAATATTTAATTTTAATCTCCCCATTCCTGTCGGGTTTTCTGGCGCAAAGCGCAAAATCAGATTTTGGTATTTACACTTGCAGTGTAGTTTCACAAGAGCAGGTGGGCTGCTTAAAAACAAACTTTACACAAAAACTCTTACTCTTAAAACACCATATCACAACACGGAACATCAACCTCTCGCCTCAAATTGCATC